TTTTCTCATCAATCTACACACAATACCCCATAATGACAAAGTGAAAACACGTTTTTTAATTTGTGCAAATTAATTAAAAATACAAAACAGAAATACCTTATTTACATAAGTATTCAGACCCTTTGCTATGAGACTCGAAATTCAGCTCAGGTGCATCCTGTTTCCATTGATCATCCTTGAGATGTTTCTACAACTTGATTGGAGTCCACCTGTGATTGGACATGAATTGGAAAGGCACACACCTGTCTATATAAGGTCCCACAGTTGACAGTGCATGTCAGATCAAAAACCAAGCCATGAGGTTGAAGTCCGTAGAGCTCCGAGACAAGATTGTGTTGAGGCACAGATCTGGGGAAGGGTACAAAAAAATGTCTGCAGCACTGAAGGTCCACAACAACACAGTGGCCTCCATTCTTAAATGGAAGAAGTTTGGAACCAGCAAGACTCTTCCAAGAGCTGGCCACCCGGCCAAACTGAGCAATCGGGGGAGAAGGGCCTTGGTCAGGGAGGTGACCAAGAACCCGATGGTCACTGACAGCTACAGAGTTCTTCTGTGGAGATGAGAGAACCTTCCAGAAGGACAACCATCTCTGCAGCACTCCACCAATCAGGCCTTTATGGTAGTGGCCAGACGGAAGCCACGGAAGGCACATAAAAGGCACATAACAGCCCGCTTGGAGTTTGCCAAAAGGCACCTAAAGGACTCTCAGACCATGAGAAACAAGATTCTCTGGTTTGATGAAACCAAGATTGAACTCTGGGGCCTGAATGCCAAGCGTCATGTCGGGAGGAAACCTGGCACCATCCCTACGGTGAAACATGGTGGCAGCATCATGCTGTGGGGATGTTTTTCAGCGGCAGAGACTGGGGGACTAGTCAGGATCGAGGCAAATATGAATGGAGCAAAGTACAGAGAGATCCTTGATGAAAACCTGCTCCAGAGCGCATAGGCCCTCAGACTGGGGTGAAGGTTCACATTCCAACAGGACCACGACCATAAGCACACAGCCAAGACAACGCCGGAGTGGCTTCAGGACAAGTCTCTGAATGTCCTTGAGTGGCCCAGCAAGAGTCCGGACTTGAACCCGATCGAACATCTCTGGAGACACCTGAAAATAGCTGTGCAGCGACACTCCTCATCCAACCTGACAGAGCTTGAGATGATCTGCATAGAAGAATGGGAGGAACTCCCCAAATACAGGTGTGCCAAGCTTATAGCGTCATACCCAAGAAGACTTGAGGCTGTAATCGCTGCTAAAGGTGCTTCAACAAAGTACTGAGTAAAGGGTCTGAATACTTATGTAAATATGATATTTCCGTTTTTTATTTTAAATCAATTCACAAACATTTCTAAAAACCTGTTTTTGCTTTGTCCTTATGGGGTATTGTGTGTAGATTGACGAGGGGGGAAAAAAACAATTTAATCCATTTTAGAATAAGGCTGTAACGTAACAAAATAGTAGCAGCAGCATTTGATGAGTGTAAAAGTGTGTGTATGTATGTACAGTGGGGGAAAAAAGTATTTAGTCAGCCACCAATTGTGCAAGTTCTCCCACTTAAAAAGATGAGAGAGGCCTGTAATTTTCATCATAGGTACACGTCAACTATGACAGACAAAATGAGAAAGGAAAATCCAGAAAATCACATTGTAGGATTTTTAATGAATTGATTTGCAAATTATGGTGGAAAATAAGTATTTGGTCACCTACAAACAAGCAAGATTTCTGGCTCTCACAGACCTGTAACTTCTTCTTTAAGAGGCTCCTCTGTCCTCCACTCGTTACCTGTATTAATGGCACCTGTTTGAACTTGTTATCAGTATAAAAGACACCTGTCCACAACCTCAAACAGTCACACTCCAAACTCCACTATGGCCAAGACCAAAGAGCTGTCAAAGGACACCAGAAACAAAATTGTAGACCTGCACCAGGCTGGGAAGACTGAATCTGCAATAGGTAAGCAGCTTGGTTTGAAGAAATCAACTGTGGGAGCAATTATTAGGAAATGGAAGACATACAAGACCACTGATAATCTCCCTCGATCTGGGGCTCCACGCAAGATCTCACCCCGTGGGGTCAAAATGATCCCAAGAACGGTGAGCAAAAATCCCAGAACCACACGGGGGGACCTAGTGAATGACCTGCAGAGAGCTGGGACCAAATTAACAAAGCCTACCATCAGTAACACACTACGCCGCCAGGGACTCAAATCCTGCAGTGCCAGACGTGTCCCCCTGCTTAAGACAGTACATGTCCAGGCCCGTCTGAAGTTTGCTAGAGTGCATTTGGATGATCCAGAAGAGGATTGGGAGAATGTCATATGGTCAGATGAAACCAAAATATAACTTTTTGGTAAAAACTCAACTCGTCGTGTTTGGAGGACAAAGAATGCTGAGTTGCATCCAAAGAACACCATACCTACTGTGAAGCATGGGGGTGGAAACATCATGCTTTGGGGCTGTTTTTCTGCAAAGGGACCAGGACGACTGATCCGTGTAAAGGAAAGAATGAATGGGGCCATGTATCATGAGATTTTGAGTGAAAACCTCCTTCCATCAGCAAGGGCATTGAAGAGGAAACGTGGCTGGGTCTTTCAGCATGACAATGATCCCAAACACACCGCCCGGGCAACGAAGGAGTGGCTTCGTAAGAAGCATTTCAAGGTCCTGGAGTGGCCTAGCCAGTCTCCAGATCTCAACCCCATAGAAAATCTTTGGAGGGAGTTGAAAGTCCGTGTTGCCCAGCGACAGCCCAAAAACCTTGTGAAGACTTACAGAAAACGTTTGACCTGTGTCATTGCCAACAAAAGGGTATATAACAAAGTATTGAGAAACTTTTGTTATTGACCAAATACTTATTTTCCACCATAATTAGCAAATATATTCATAAAAAATCCTACAATGTGATTTTCTGGATTTTTTTTCAAATTTTGTCTGTCATAGTTGACGTGTACCTATGATGAAAATTACAGGCCTCTCTCATCTTTTTAAGTGGGAGAACTTGCACAATTGGTGGCTGACTAAATGCTTTTTTTCCCCACTGTATGTGTATGTGTGTTTGTGTTGTGTCGGAATGTGTGTGTGTGTTGTGTGTGTGCGTATGTAGTGTATTTGAATGTGTGTGGGTTTTGTGTGAGAGTGTCAGTGTTGTGTGTGTGTGTGAGTGTTTATATAGTGTCTATATATTTTCTTGTGAGTGTGTGTAGAGTCAGTGCAACAAGATATGGTCTGTGCAGCTAGTCCGGGTAACCATTTAATTAAATATTTGTGGCGATTTAGTAGTCTTATGGCTTGGGGGTAGAAGCTGTCGCGGAGCCTGTTGGTCCGAGAGCCGATGCTCCGATACCGTCTGCCGGATGGTAGCAGAGTGAACAGTCTATGGCTTGGGTGGATGGAGTTTTGGGCAATTTTTTGGGCCTTCCTCTGACACCGCCTGATATAGAGGTCCTAGATGGCAGGGAGCTCGGCCCCAGTGATGTACTGGGCTGTCTGCACCACCCTCTGTAGCGCTTTGCGGTCGAGGGCGGTGCATTTGCCATACCAAGCGGTAATGCAGCCAGTCAAAATGCTCTCAATGGTGCAGTGGTAGAACCTTTTGAGGATCCAAGGGCCCATGCCAAATTACTCCTATTGTGCCCTCTACACAACTGTGCGGGTGTGTGTGGACCATGTTAAGTCCTTAGTGATAGGGACGCAAAGGAACTTGAAGCGCTCGACCTGCTCCACTACCGCCCCTTCAATGTGGATGGGGGCGTGCTCTCCCCTCTTTCTCCTGTAGTCCACGATCAGCTCCATGATAATCAGTGATGCACAGTATTGTGACTGTAATCTGTGAGGTTTTGTGTTACCAGAGTGGGTCCAGCACAGGGAGGGAGCTCTGTGTGGGGAGGCTGAGACACACACACACACACACACACACTCTCCTGCTGACTCAGGCCCTAACACAGGCCCAGCTCCAATCCTGTCTTCAGCCCCAAACCTTGTCAGCACAGGGCTCTGCCCAGCCCCAGTCCCAACCCCAGTCCTCCCTCCAGCCCCAGTGGAGAGGCTGTGCTCTGGTCCTGCTGGTTGAGCTGATGGATCTCCAGGAGGCCCTGGTCTCTGTGGTGCTGTCGCCTCTACTGGACACAGTCAGTCACAATACAGCTTTAAAATCAAAGCAAGGTTCCATTGTGGCTACACTGGCCTGCTGGCCCTGGAAGAGGAAAATAAGTCTGAACTCAGTGCCTCGTCTCTCCTGCCTGCTCACCTCTAATCACTGCATGACCTCTGACCCCAACACACTCCTGTCCGCTAACCCGTGCCTGGGGCCCTCCGAGCCAATCCCAGTCCAGAACATCTCCTCAGCTGCCCCGTCCCCAGACCTGACCAGAGGTGAACAAGAACAACAACACATTGAGGACCTCTGCACAGGTAAAACACAGACACACACACACTCAAAATGCAGGGTTCTCTCATCACTCTGGCCTAGAGCAAACAACCAGAGGGAGACACAGAGCAGCTTACAGGAACCACAGTAAGATACCCTAAATTACCTCACACACAGATCTAGGATCAGAAACACTAAATCACACAGATCTGAACTCTGTATTCTTTGTGTATGTGTTGTGGTTCTGTAGGTCATGTCTACTGCAGCAGAGGAACAGGAAGTCAGTGTGCAGGACGAGGGTGGTCACTGTGACACACAACACTCCAGGATACACACACTACAACGACACAGCTGGAGACAGACAGTGTGAGGACACAGCCAGAGACAGAGACCAGGTGGAGGTTTTGGACTCGTCTCTGTTCCAGTCCAACTCAGGTTGAACAGCTCTCACCGCCTACAGACCAGCACCCCACTACTGGCCAGGTGGTCTATGTCTGGCTCTCTAAGATTCCGTCTGGCTCTCGGATTCTGTCTGGCTATCTAAGGTTTTGTCTGATAATACTGTAATTGTGTGATAACTATGTGTGTTGTAGAAGGAGCTAGTGATGGAGCAGTCATAAAATACAGAAACTGATGTGGCCAGACACACCACCCCAAGAGTACACACACACTGAGGAGCCTCTGACATGGAACATAGCCCAGCAGGAGGTTGAGGCTGAGAGGGGCCAGGGCAGTCCTCCTTTCAATGAGGAACACACTGATGACTTCACTGCTGTGGGTGCCAATGAGAGTGCTTACCTGGGCTCTGTGGGAGCCAATGAGAGCGCTTACCTGGGGTCTGTGGGAGGGGAGAGGAAGTGACAGAGACAGAGCCCTGGGCCATGAGTGGACCTGCTCCCCCTAGATCAGACCAGGAGACCCACAAAACTCCACACACTCCTCTAGAGGGAGACAGAACGATGTGGAGTGTGATGGAGAGAGGACATTGGAGCCATTCTCTGCGATGGAGAGGATGATGTGTAGCCTGGTGGACCTGTAGAGGAAGACGGAGCAGAAACAAAAAGAGACAGAGACAACTACTGGGGAGGCCGGTAGCCTAGCTGTTAGAGTATGGGCCAGTAACCGAAAGGTCACTAGTTCGAAACCCCAATCCGACAAGGTGAAAAATCTGTGCCCTTCAGCAAGGCACTTAACCGTAATTGCTCCAGGATCGCCGTTGATTATGGTGACCCTGGCTGTGACCCCACTCTCTGAGGGTGTCTAAGGGGGAGTTGGGATATGCTAAACAAAAAACATGTTCAATTCACACATGCGTATTAATAAACACTTATCTTTATTACTGAGAGTGAGACAGGGGAGGGGGTGATCGAGAGACAGAGAAGGGATAGAATACACCGAGAGAGACAACTACTGAGAGTGGGAGAGAGAAAGAGGGAGAGGGACATGTCCTGAGAGTCGGTTTTAGGAAGAGAGCCACAACACAAGGGGAAAAAAGAGAGCAGCTTAGTTATAAAGAGAGATACTTCCTGTGTCAGGTCCAGGAGCGGCTGTCAATCATCCAGAACAGGAAGTCCCAGAAGGACCTGATGGGCCTCAGACAGACTGACAGACGCAGACACCTCACGCACAACCTGCCCCAGGTAACACACACGCACAACCTACCACATGTAATATACCCTTTTGTCAGGCATTGGAGGGTGGTGTATGATTCTGGGCTGTGTGTGTCTCTCAGGAGGATAAGCGCCAGCAGAAGATGGTGGTCAGACAAAGACTGGAGCGCTCTTATGTCATGCAGTACAAACGAGACAGATAACACACACAAGTAATATGTAAGAGATACAGGTAACAAGACTGGTGTCAATTTCCACCTCTTACTCATTCTTTATTCTCCCTCCTCCCAGGAATCCAGCAGGCTTTAAGGAGCTGCTGGGTCCAGTGGAACTCCACAGTGCAGAGACAGACAACACCCCTGACTCACTCAGGCTAGCCACCAACGCTAACTAATTATACAATCACTACCCATCTAGCGATGCCATTACTACACATCTATGTCACTAGAAATCTGATCGGTAAGTCCCGCTCCAGCTGTTCCTCCTCAATCTGTCAATCGCTATACTACTACCCACCCTGTTCACTAGCCATACTGGCTGCAGTTCAGTAATTATTTTAGTGTATGCATAAGATTCAGCTTTCCTCAATTAAATACAGTGGACTTCAAAGAGCTATACTTTTTTTTATTAAACCGTCATCAGCTTAAATACTGTAGCCTGCTGGTAAGTGGATGAATAGAGGCAGAGAGCTGATGGTGACAGAGTTTATTATACAGTTAAATTGTCATCCTGACAAACATGAACATCATCAACAATAATATCACTTACTTAATAAAGCCCCCGTCTGTTGGTCTGTAGTATGTCCCTCCAGTGGCCTATATCATATATACAGTGACAGTCACATGACTACATCTCTACAGTCTAAAGTAGCCTCCTATCCTCTCCATCTGCACTGATCTCAGAACTGGACAATAGAAAGAAAATCCATGTGTGGCCTAGTAATGCCATAATGCTTTCACCTGGACCATGTTCAATAGGGCAGACTGTAGCAACATGTTTTGAAACTGGAAATTAAAGTGTTTTTTTATTGGACAAGTTCAAGTTGTTAAAAAAAATAATCTAATTTGTGCCAACTGAACATGACCCTGCTGTCTTGTCCCATCAGTGCAGATGAAGGACAGGAATTTGGATAGGAGGGGAGGAGGCAGCTGAAAAGTATTGAGATGTGACCGTGCACAGGGGATGGGGTTGTGGCTGGTATTTACAGAGCTAAGGGAATGGAAGTTGAGATGGCATGTGACAGTTCTACTGGCATGGAGAGTTGTGTATAATACAGAGGTTAGGGGTCGAGGGTTAAAGGTGACATGGTCAAGGTGGGAGAAGTTCTTAACCAATTCAGGTGTTTTTATCTTTAATTGAGCGTAAACATGAGGTCTTCACTCACACTGCCGCTACACACAGAATACATACCGCTATGAGTAGAGAAGCCAGAACATTCTACACACAGAGCCTTGCCTGAGTTTAGAAAGAGGAATAGAGTATGCTACTCAGACAAAAGATCTGTGGTCACACGCACGCATGCGCAAAAGCACACAATCCTCACGCAGAAGAGAAACATGTTGTTTTCTGACTGAAAGGTAAATAATCCTAAAGATTCAAGCTATGTGATTGGTGGAAACAAATCTGAACCAGTAAGTCCCCAGGTAACTCATGATGAGAGGAATTTGAGCTTACAGGAAGTGATGCACTCGCTTCCTGTGTGGCTCAGCAGGCTGCCGTGTAGGCCAGGGGCTATGGTAGGCCTGTGGTTAAATGTCTTTCAGCATGCGCTGATGTGACTAAGACTAGACTACGACACTGATCCTGTTAGATAAATGAATTAATTTTACCAGACAATATATTCATTTTATACACAAGGTTCCCAAATGACAACGTTTCCAAAGACAGCTGTAGGGCCTAAAATCCTAGGATGTCAAATGGCCACCACACATCCAGCACAGCCTGCTGACCACACCCACACACTCTGATGGCGGAATGAAGAGGATGGAGGGTCCTGATGGGACCTGGGGGAGGGGCAGGGTGCAGTAGGGAGGTGCCCTTCCCTCACAACAGATGGGCACACAGACTGGAGAGAGAGGGTTGTCGGGGTGTGTGTGTTTATTCAGTCTACTGGTGGGCACACTGTACCCCTGGGCCGTGCGGCCCCCCCTCCTCATCAGAGCTGTCGTTGTAGGCCTCCCTCCTGGCCCCCGCTGACCCCTGACCTCTGACCTCACAGTCCTGGAGGTCAACCTCCTCTGCCTCCGACGAGATGACTGGTCCCTCCGCACGCGCAGGCAGCAGGTCCTCCAACTCCTACACACACAGGTAAAACACACATTCTGTATATTACACACACAAAGTAAAGGTTAAGACAATGTGTGATGCACGTCAGTGGTTAGACACCTTAGACGGGCTATTTGGTTCTCTGGAGGTACTCACGGTGAGTTTCTCAGGGCTGATCCAGTTGTTGTCAGGGAACTGGACATCAAACTTGATGAACAGATCTCCCTTCTCAAAGGGGTTCCTGTACTGAGGCATCCCCTCTCCCTTCACCACTCGGATACAACCTGACACACACACACACACACACACACACAAACAATCATCAATGTAATGATACAGGGCGAACCAAATAGATCAAGTTAAAGAGCGACTGCCCCTAAAAAGAAACTTCTCGTTTTGAAAACGTCCTATTTGGCATCGATATTAGTCAGAAACATGTATTATCATGTCAAAATGTACTACAAAGTGTAAATTGGATCATTTGGATCATAAAGTCATTCTCAAAAAAATTGTATGTCATGGAATGAAGGGTACCGTAAGTGTTCCTTTGGTTGGGTTTATTTCAATCCTACCACAGCTGGCAACACACAAGTAATCATCAATTCGGAGCGCAGCTGCATGCGACCCGATCGTAATGCCCATGGTCAATTTGGATTTGATATGCCTATGGGGCTAGTTAGGGACCATAAGTCAATTACACAATGTACATGGGACAATATTTTAAAATGTCAATAGCTCCAAATTTCAATGACTTAAAAACCTCAAACCATCTATTAATTGTAGAAATATTAATATACAAATATTGAACGCATTTAATGAGATAACGAAACGATGTGCAACATGACAATATTGTTTAATTTACATTTAGCTATTTATTGACGGTCCCTAACTAGCCCCAGAGTTAGGCTATACAATATCAAACCAACTTCGCCACTGTCGCACACCAGCCGGCTGAAGCTAATTGGCGAAAGAAGTTGGCTAGCACTAGCTAGCCTAGGCGACTTCAAGACACATGGTTAGACTGTTTCAAGTTATCTACAAGCGTGAGTGAATAACTGTGTACTGTTTTGGCATAGTGAATGTACAAACGCTTGCCACATCCGAACACACACACACACACACATTAACCCCCCCCCCCAAAACAACTCTTGTTTGGCTTCAGTCATGGCAGCTGCATTTCTTAATGACCAAGCCGAAAAACTAGGCCAAATCAGGAAGTTCAGCCCCCCTTTAAGCTTGAGGCGGTGTGTGTGTGTTGTGGTGTGTGTTTACCTGGGTCTATGACCTTGCCAGGGGGATATTTGACGGCTAGCTGGCGTCCGTCGAGGTGTGTGACCGCCAACTGAAAGCCACACAGAGCTTCCACCAGGCCGATACGCTGCGTCATGTGGAGGTCATGGCCATCACGACGGAACTCCTGCAGAACACACTCAATTAACATTTTCTCAGCACTTTGACCCAACCTCTCTGGGTGACAAGTGGGCGAAAGTGTTTCAGGAATGTCTCAAACTCAGGAGATGTGAATTGAGAACCACCTTCAGGAAGGAAGCTAAGACATTTAGTCACTGTTACTGTTACCGGCTACCACCCAGACTCTATGTACATAGTCATTGAACACTGGTCACTTTAATAAATGTTTACATACTGTAAATGTAAGTATGTAATGTTTTACCCACTTCATATGCATATACTGTATTATAGTTAAGGCTCATCCTATACAACCACTGCTGTACACACCATTATTAACGCAACATGCAACAATTTCAACGATTTTATTGAGTTACAGTTCATATAAGGAAATCAGTCAATTGAAATAAATAAATTAGTTCCTAATCTATGGATGTCACATGACTGGGCAGGGGCGCAGCCATGGGTATGCCTGGGCTCTATTACAGACAGAATTACTCCTTAGTTTCATCGGCTGTCGGGGTGGCTGGACTCAGACGATCCCACAGGTGAAGAAAACTGATGTGGAGTTCCTGGGCTGGCGTGGTTACACGTGGTCTGCGGTTGTGAGGCAGGTTGGAAGTACTGCCAAATTCTCTAAAATGACGTTGGAGGCGGCTTATTGTAGAGAAAAACATTAAATTCTCTGGCAACAGGTCTGGTGGACTTTCCTGCAGTAAGCATGCCAATTGCACACTCCCTCAAAACTTGAGACATCTGTGGCATTGTGTTGGGTGACAAAACTGTACATTTTAGAGTGGCCTTTTATTGTCCCCAGCAATAAATTTATCAGCTTCTTGATATGCCACACCTGTCAGGTGGATGGATTATCTTGGCAAAGGAGAAATGCTCACTAACAGGGATGTAACAAATTTGTGCACCAAATTTGTGAGCAATAAGCTTTATGCGCGTTTGGAAAATTTCTGGAATCTTTTATTTCAGCTCATGAAACCAACACTTTACATGTTGCGTTTTTATTTTTGTTCAGTATATATACACACACACACACACACACAGTATATACACACACACTACACGGCCAAAAGTAAGTGGACACCGCTTCAAAATAGTGGATTTGGCTATTTCAGCCACACCCGTTGATGACAGGTGTATAAAATCGAGCATGCAGCCATGCAATCTCCTTAGACAAACATTGGCAGTAGAATGGTCTTACTGAAGAGCTCAGAGACATTCAACGTGGCACCGTCATAGGATGCCACTTTTCCAACAAGTCAGATCACCAATGACAAGCTCCGGCTAGAGTGGTGTAAAGCTCACCGCCATTGGACTCAGGAGCAGTGGAAACACGTTCTCTGGAGTGATGAATCACGCTTCACCATCTGGCAGTCCGACGGACGAATCTGGGTTTGGCGGATACCAGGAGAACGCTACCTGCCCGAATGCAATGTGCCAACTGTAAAGTTTGGTGTAGGAGGAATAATGGTCTGGGGCTGTTTTACATGGTTCGGGCTAGGCCCCTTAGTTCCAGTGAAGGGAAATCTTAACACTACAGCATACAATGACATTCTAGACAATTCTGTGCTTCCAACTTTGTGGCAACAGTTTGTGGACGGCCCTTTCCTGTTTCAGCATGGCAATGCCCCCGTGCACAAAGCGAGGTCCATACAGAAATGGTTTGTCGAGATCGGTGTGTAAGAACTTGACTGGCCTGCAAAGAGCCCTGACCTCAACCCCATCGAACACCTTTAGGATGAATTGGAATGCCAACTGCGAGCCAGGCATAATCGCCCAACATCAGTGCCCGGCCTCACGAGTGCTGTTGTGGCTGAATGGAAGCAAGTCCCCGCAGCAATGTTCCAACTACTAGTTGAAAGCCTTACCAGAAGAGTGGAGGCTGTTAAAGCAGCAAAGGGGGGACCAACTCCATATTAATGCCCATGATTTTGGAATGAGATGTTTGACGAGCAGGTGTCCACATACTTGCCTTCGGAAAATATTCAGACCCCTTGACTTTTTCCACATTTTGTTAGGTTACAGCCTTATTCTAAAATTGATTAAATCGTTTTTTCCCTCCTCAATCTACACACAATACCCCATAATGACAAAGTTCAAGTCACAGACACATCTCAACATCAACTATTCAGAGGGGACTGTGTGAATCAGGCCTTCATGGGCGAATTGCTGCAAAGAAACCACTACTAAAGGACACCAATAATAAGAAGAGACCTGCTTGGGCCAAGAAACACAAGCAATGGACATTAGACCGGTGGAAATTTGTCCTTTGGTCTGGAGTCCAAATTTGAGATTTTTGCCTCCAACCGCCGTGTCTTTGTGAGACGCAGTGTGGGTGAACGGATGATCTCTGCATGTGTAGTTCCGACCGTAAAGCATTAAGGAGGAGGTGTTATGGTGTGGGGTACTTTGCTGGTGACACTGTCTGTGATCTATTTAGAATTCAAGGCACACTTAACCAGCATGGCTACCACAGCATTCTGCAGCGATACGCCATCCCATCTGGTTTGGGCTTCGTCGGACTATCATTTGTTTTTTAACAGGACAATGACCCAACACACCTCCAGGCTGTGTAAGGGCTATTTTACCAAGAAGGAGAGTGATGGAGTGCTGCATCAGATGACCTGGCCTCCACAATCCCCCGACTTCAACCCAATTGAGATGGTTTGGGATGAGTCGAACGGCAGAGTGAAGGAAAAGCAGCCAACAAGTGCTCAGCATATGTGGGAACTCCTTCAAGACTGTTAGAAAAGCATTCCAGGTGAAGCTGGTTGAGAGAATGCCAAGAGTTTGAAAAGCTGTCATCAAGGCAATATATTTAGATTTGTTTAACACTTTTTTGGTTACTACATGATTCCATATGTGTTATTTCATAGTTTTGATGTCTTCACTATTATTCTACAATGTAGAAAATAGTAAAAATCAAGAAAAACCCTTGAATGAGTAGGTGTGTCTAAACTTTTGACTGGTACTGTATATATTTTTTTTTCTGACTGACATTGCTTGTTCTGATATTTCTATATTTTGGGGATTTGTGTGTATTGTTAGGTATACTGCATTGTTAGAGCTAGAAACATAAGCATTTAGCTGAAACTGCAATATCGGCAAAATGTGTGTTCGCAACCAGCAAAATTCTATTTTGAATTTCTTAACACTTCACTCAGTGGTTTCCTAAGCAGTTCGTTTAAGTCTTCAAGTACTCTCTGCTACAGTGTGTATGTGTGTGTGTTTTACCTCGTGCTCCTTCTCCTGTAGGACCAGTAGGATGTCTCCAGGCTCAGTGCCTGGGGCTTGGTCAGCCTCTCCAGTGAAGCTGATCTTCTGGCCATGCCTCATGCCTTTATCAACATGGACCTCCAACAGCTTGGTCTCCTTGTTCACCTTACGACCCTCACACTTCTTACAGCGGTCCTTCTCACTGATCACCTCCCCTACACAAACACAACAAACAGATTAGTTTCCTAGCAATTAAAAAAATAAATATGTATAGTGTATTGATAATTGCAGACTACGTGTGTGTGTGTGGTCCTACCCTCTCCGTTGCAGTCTGTGCAGACTGACTGCATCTGTTGGACCATGCCAGGAGCCAGCTGTCTGATCATGATCCTCATGCCTCTCCCTCTGCATGCCACACACTTCTGCACCGCCCCCGCCTTACCCCCCGCACTGGAGACGGACCAGAGAGAGGAGAGACAAGTATCACATTAAACAATATATCACATGTTAAACGGGCAATCAGCAATCCTGCCTATATTCATTTTTGGACTTATAAATTAATGACACGTACCCATTGATTCTTAAAGAATAGAACTTATAAATGCCTCATGAGCTTAGTTCAACTGTCATATCCTATCATAACCCAAAATATAACCTTGTTTTATAAACAAAGTAAACAAATGTTATATAGCTTCAAAACATTGTTAAAACTATAAATGTTTATATCATGAATGGTCAGTCCTGCATCCATAGCTCTGTCCATGAAAGATGATATTTATACTGAATAAAAATATAAACGCAACATGTAAAGTGTTGGTCCCATGTTTCATTAGCTGAAATAAAAGATCCCAGAAATGTTCAATACGCACAAAAACCTTACTTCTCTCAAATTTTGTGAGGAAATTTCTTTACATCCCTGTTAGTGAGCATTTCTCCTTTGCCAAGATAATCCAGCCATCCTGCCCTGCCTTGCCTTTCGAAAGCCAAGTTAACAAACCGACCATTTCCAATCCCACCGTACCTTCTCCGCTATGCAATCTGGTTTCCGAGCTGGTCATGGGTGCACCTCAGCCACGCTCAAGGTCCTAAGCGATATTATAACCGTGATCGATAAAAAAACTGTACTGTGCAGCCGTCTTCATCGACCTGGCCAAGGCTTTCGACTGTCAATCACCGCATTCTTATTGGCAGACTAAATAGCCTTGGTTTCTCAAATGACTGCCTCGCCTGGTTCACCAACTACTTCTCAGATAGAGTTCAATGTGTCAAATCGGAGGGCCTGTTGTCTGGACCTCTGGCAGTCTATGGGGGTGCCACAGGGTTCAATTCTCGGGCCGACTCTATTCTCTGTGTATATCAATGATGTCGCTCTTGCTGCTGGTGACTCTCAGATCCACCTCTATGCAGACGACACCATTTTGTATACATCTGGCCCTTCATTGGACACTGTGTTAACAAACCTCCAAACGAGCTTCAATGCCATACAACACTCCTTCCGTAGCCTCCAACTGCTCTTAAACGCTAGTAAAACTAAATGCATGCTCTTCAATCGAACGCTGCTTGCACCCGCTCGCCCAACTAGAATCACTACTCACGGCGGGTCTGATACAACTACAAATACCTAGGTGTCTGGTTAGACCGTAAACTCTCCTTCCAGACTCACATTAAGCATCTCCAATCCAAAGTTAAATCTAGAATCAGCTTCCTATTTCGCAACAAAGCCTCCTTCACTCATGCTGCCAAACATGCCCTCGTAAAACTGACTATCCTACCGATCCTTGACTTCGGCAATGTCATTTACAAAATAGCTTCCAACACTCTACTCAGAAAATTGGATGTAGTCTATCACAGTGCCATCCGTTTTGTCACCAAAGCCCCATATACTACCCATCATTGTGACCTGTGCGCTCTCGTTGGCTGGCCCTCACTACATATTCGTCGCCAAACCCACTGGCTCCAGGTCATCTATAAATCACTGCTAGGCAAATCCCTGCCTTATCTTAGCTCATTGGTCACCATAGCAACACCCACCCGTAGTATGCGCTTCAGCAGGTATATCTCACTGGTCATCCCCAAAGCCAACACCTCCTTTGGCCGCCATTCCTTCCAGTTCTGTTGGCAATGACTGGAACGAACTGCAAAAATCTCTGAAGCTGGAGACACTTATCTCCCTCACTAACTTTAAGCATCAGTTGTCAGAGCAGCTTACAAATCACTTCACCTGTACACAGCCCATCTGTAATTAGCCCACCCAACTACTTCATCCCCATATTGTTATTTATTTTGCTAATTTGCACCCCAGTATCTCTATTTGCACATCTATCACTCCAGTGTTAATACTAAATTGTAATTATTTTGCACTATGGCCTATTTTATTGCCTTACCTCCATAACTTACTACATTTGCACACACTGTATATAGATCTTCTATTGGTCTTTTTGACTGTACGTTTTGTTTATCCCATATGTAACTCTGTTGTTTTTAAATCGCACTGCTTTGCTTTATCTTGGCCAGGTCGCAGTTGTAAATGAGAACTTGTTCTCAACTGGCTTACCTGGTTAAATAAAGGTTAAATAAAAAATAAAATAAAAACCTGACAGGTGTGGCATATCAAGAAGCTGATTAAACAGCATGATCATCACAGGTGCACCTTGTGCTGGGGACAATAAAAGGCCACTAAAGTGTCCAGTTTTGTCACACAACACAATGCCACAGATGTCTCAAGTTGAGGGAGCATGCAACTGGCACGCTGACTGCAGGAATGTTCCACCAGAGCTGCTGCTAGAGAATTGAATGTTAATTTCTCTACCATAAGCCACCTCCGTCATCATTTTAGAGAATTTGGCAGTACGTCCAACCGGCCTCACAACCGCAGACCAAGTGTAACCACGTCAGCGCAGGACCTCCACATCCTGGCTTCTTCACCTGCGGGATTGTCTGAGACCAGCCAACCGGACTACTGATGAAACTGTGGGTTTGAACAACCAATGAATTTCTGCACAAATTGTCAGAAACCGTCTCAGGGAAGCTCATCTGCATGCTCATCGTCCTCACCAGGGTCTTGACCTGACTGCAGTTCGGCATCGTAACCGACTTCTATGGGCAAATGCTCACCTTCGATTGCCACTGGCATCCTGGAGAAGTGTGCTCTTCACAGATTAATCCCGATTTCAACTGTACCATGCAAGTGGCACACAGTGATGTCGTGTGGGCGAGCGGTTCGCTGATGTCAGTGTTGTGAACAGAGTGCCCCATGGTGGCGGTGGGGTTATGGTATGGGCAGGCATATGCTATGGACAACGAACACAATTGCATTTTATTGATGGCAATTTGAATGCCAGAGATATCGTGATGAGATCCTAAGGCCCATTGTCGTGCCATTCACCCGCCGCTATCACCTCATGTTTCAGCATGATAATGCACGGCCCCATGTCGAAAGGATCTGTACACAATTCCTGGAAGCTGAAAATGTCCCAGTTCTTCCAAGGCCTGCATACACACCCATTGAGCATGATTGGGATGCTCTGGTTCGACATGTATGACGTGTTCCAGTTCCCTTAACTTCGCACAGCCGTTGAAGAGTGGGACAACGTTCCACAGGCCACAATCAACAGCCTGATCTGGTCACACCAGATACTGACTGGTTTTCTGATCCACGCTCATACGCCCCTACCCCCCACTTGGAAATCCCGCTCATCGCTCATGGAGCACCGCACCGCTACGGCGCTCCACGTCCTTTCCAACCACTCCGCTAAAAACCGCTCCGCGCTCACAGAAAGAAAAAAAAACACTGCCGCTCCAAATTCGCTCCATTCACTAAAATCACAATTTAACCAACACCCATCTATTTCTGTGACTACCTGGACCTACCATTTGGTTTTGAATTATTGAAACCAAACCATATGATTTTAATGAAAAGTATTTTAATAAACATGAAAAGGTGAAAGCAAGAAGCGCTCATAATTACAAATAGGCTACATGTCATATTAAACAGCATTTAAAACACTCTAAATAGGTCAGGAGCCAGACAGGGAGCATAAGAAGGAACAAAAATGAATTATTTAGACTATATTATTTCAAGGCTAAAACCTACAAATAAATGCATTGTGAAGCATTAGCGAGTGCAACACAATAGGCTGGTAGGGACATAAAGCCCTCAGCATCTAAACAACATTTCGTTGTATAAAAATAATTTTAGTCTATAAATAGTGCATATACAGTGCATTCGGAAAGTATTCAGACCCCTCGACTTTTTCCACATTTGTTACGTCACAGCCTTATTCTAAAATTGATTAAATTGTTTTCCTCAATCTACACACAATTCCCCATAATGACAAAGCAAAAAAAAGTTATACATTTTTGTACATTTATTAAAAATAAAAAAACAGAAATACCTTATTCACGTAAGTATTAAGACGCTTTGCTATTACACTCGAAATTGAGCTCAGGTGCATCCGGTTTCCATTGATCATCCTACAACTTGATTGGAGTCCACATGGGGTAAATTCAATTGATTGGACATGATTTGAAAAGGCACACACCTGTCTATATAAGGTCCCACAGTTGACAGTGCATGTCAGAGCAAAAACCAAGCCTTGAGGTCGAAGGAATTGTCCGTAGAGCTCTGAGACAGGATTATGTCGAGGCACAGATTTAGGGAAGGGTACCAAAAAATGTCTGCAGCATTGAAGGTCCCCAAGAACACAATGGCCTCCATCATTCTTAAATGGAAGAAGTTTGGAACCACTAAGACTCTTCCTAGAGTTGGCCGCCCGGCCAAACTGAGCAATCATGGAAGAAGGGCCTTGGTCAGGGAGGTGACCAAGAACCCGATGGTCACTCTGACAGAGCTCCAGAGTTCCTCTGTGGAGATGGGAGAACCTTCCAGAAGGACAACCATCTCTGCAGCACTCCACCAATCAGGCCTTTATGGTAGAGTGGCCAGACAGAAGCCACTCCTTAGTAAAAAGGCACGACAGCCCGCTTGGAGTTTGCCAAAAGGCACCAAAATGACTCTCAGACCATGAGAAACAAGAGTCTCTGGTCTGATGAAACCAAGATTGAACTCTTTGGCCTGAATGCTAAGCGTCACATCTGGAGGAAACCTGGCACCATCCCTACGGTGAAGAATGGTGGTGGCAGCATCATGCTGTGGGGATATTTTTCTGCGAAAGGAACTGGGAGACTAGTCAGGATTGAGGGAAAGAAATGGAGCAAAGTACACAGATTCTTGATGAAAACCTGCTCCAGAGCGCTCAGGACCTCAGACTGGGGCGAAGGTTCACCTTCCAACAGGACAACGACCCTAAGCACATAGCAAAGACAACGCAGGAGTGGCTTCGGGACAAGTCTCTGAATGTCCTTGAGTGGCCCAGCCAGAGACCTGAAAATAGCTGTGCAGCGACGCTCCCCATCCAACCTGACAGAGCTTGAGAGGATATGTAGAGAAGAATGGGAGAAACTCCCCAAATACAGGTGTGCCAAACTTGTAGCGTCATACCCAAGATGACTTGAGGCTATAATCGCTGCCAAAGGTGCTTCAACAAAGTACTGAGTAAAGGGTCTGAATACTTCATGTAAATGTGATATTTCCCTTTTTAATACATTTGCCAACATTTCTAAAAACCTGTTTTTGCTTTGTCATTATGGGGTAGTGTGTAGATTGATGAGGGGGAAAAACTATTTAATCAATTTTAGAATAAGGCTGTAACGTAACAAAGTGGAAAAAGTCAAGGCGTCTGAATATTTTCCCAATGCACGGTAGGCTGTGACTTACTTAGAATTAAATACAAATTAAACAAAAAATGCCTTATTAGTGCCTTTGAATTCATTTTTAGAAACAAGAGTTTGGCCAGTCTGTGGCTTCAGGCTCATGCGATGGTGCCTGGAGAGCATGCCAGCAGCGATACATGTATTTTCAGATTCAACAATGATTATTTAGTTGTGGACACTACATCACCGCACTCCCTCTCTTGGTCCTCATCTTTGTAAGTCACCTTGATTTTGCACCTGTGTGTTTTATCCGTTTCTTTATGAAAATATTTAGCGAACTCCACGACAGTAGCTAAAGCAAGGGGCTATAGCAGTACACAAGTAGACTACAAATGCATGCTGGGCCGGGCATGCCCAGAGCTCGTGATGTGAGCACTATTGGAGCGAAATTGGAGCGGACGAGTAGGCCGACACTCCAGCATTTGGGAATCTCGCTCTGCGCTCCAGTCTAATTGGGCATGCTCCGCTCTTCGCTCCGCTCACATACTGTATTCCCAGTCATGTAAAATCCATAGTTTAGGACCTAATTCATTTATTTCCATTGACTAATTTCCTTATATGAACTGTAACTCAGTAAAATCGTTGAAATTGTTGCATTTATATTTTTGTTCAGTGTATTTCAAAAAGTGTAACTAACATTGATTTCCATGTCAATTACATTAAAGTGTGTGTGTAGACTCACCCATTGCAGGAAGCACACAGGACATTCTTGCTGAGTTGTAGTTTAGTTGTTTTACCATTGTAGAGGTCTTCCAGTGAAACTCTGTTAGACAGGTAGGCAGGGTTAGGTAAGGCATAACTAGCAATGTCTGGATAGAGGACCATAGATGTGAAGGGAGAGTAACTGTCACTCACTTGAGGGGGTGCACCATGTCCTCTCCTCTCCTGCGCCCCCCGTTGCGTCCTCCTCCTCCGCGTCCCTGCCCCCCCATGAAGCCAAACAGCCCACCTCCAAAGATGTGGGAGAAGATGTCATCCATGCCAGCCCCTCCACCACCTCCCTCCCGCAGCCCCTGCTCTCCATAACGGTCATACAGCTCCTTCTTCTCAGGATTGGTCAGCACCTCATACGCAAAACTGATCTCCTTAAACTGGGAGAGAAGGGGGGGGGGGGGCGGTAATCATTAGGGAGGGACCTGCCATTCTCTGTCATAACTACCCCCAGACATTCGACAACCCCAGGTGACATTTTCCGTACTGTTTACTTTAAATCCACATGAACAATCATCACATGTAGTTGTCTCACAGATCCTCTCCTCCCATCTCAATTGTCTAACATGGTTTCCTCTCCATCTGCACTGATGTTACACAGGACAGCTGATAGAGATGCAGAAGAAGATGCCGGTTGGGGCAGTGCTGCAGATGAAGCAGATGAGACCAGGAGAGAGGGTGCCTCAACAGACTAGCTGGTGCACTCTTACTCTGGAGAGGTGGCCATTTGAGTAATACCAAAGGCGATTGATACCAGTCTCTGTTACTGCTCAATACAGATAGGCCTTTGTGATGGTCCTACCATGGCTGGTGGTCGTGATGTCGCTTGATGAGCGTTATGTGCTGCTGTGATTCGTTTTGTGTGTGTGTGCTGTGTCATGTTGTGAATGTGTTGTTTGTGTAACTGCCAGTCTCTTACCTTGTCCCCGGCATCTGGGTTCTTATCAGGGTGAAACTCTTTGGCCAATTTGCGGTATGCCTGAACACAAGAGAGACAGACGTACATCATCAGTCACTGTCTGGGAGTGGGCTGTTGTAGGGCCAACCTTTTCTAACTGCGTAGCTTTACCCTGCTGCTGCGGCAAGAGCAACACTTGGTGAATCTGAAAGTCTTCTAACGTTAGCTAACGAACAGGCTAACATCATCATCATCCTCTTCATGACTATCCCTAGTAAGATAGCAATCTGTAGTATATGTCAAAAACATGACGACAGAGTGTAACTAACTTTAGACATTAGCTAACGTTAGCTAACAATAGATTCAGCTAGCTAGCTAACATTACCAGACAAATTAGATAAATTACGATCTCATTATGTACTAGCTGGCTATAACTAGCTAACTAACAAATAACATACCTAGTACTTCTATATGGTTTTACTCTGCCAGCTTTGTTTTACTCACGTCAGCTAGCGCAGTATATTACGCTAACGTTAGCTAGCTACTGCAGCTAACGTTGCGTAGAAGTCTGCACTGCCTAGCAACGATCGGCCGCTGCCTGGGCTACTTTTCTATGCCTAGTTTCTCATGTATAAAATACATCTAACCAACTTTCTAACAGCTAGTTAACTAACTAGTCAGCTAGCTACCTTAGCTCGCGCTTTTCAATCAGAGAAAGACTATTGCTTTTCATTAGATATTTACAACAGAATATGCACTGGCTAGCTTGCACGATTAGCTAGTTGTCTAGCTAACGTTAACTAGCGATAGGTTAACTAGCTAATTAGCTTAGCATCTGAACAGTGTTGGCAAGGCCACATCAACCCTGTTTTGCGGTCTTATAATTTTTCGCCACATTTTCTGTAGGCACGGATTGTGTATTATTTATTTACACAACACCAGTCACGTACCTTCTTTAGGTCGTTTTCTGAGGCGGAGGGTGAAACTCCGAGGATGTCGTATAGCTTGGTATCCACAACGTTGGCCATAATGCTAGCTAACGTTAGTCGGCTACAGACAGAAATACGTTCTACCGAGGAAAGGAAACGAGAGGAGAGGAGAGGAGAAGAGAAACAAGCCGGGTGGAAACGTCATAAGAAATGCGTCAACTTGGGTCAGTGCTGACAATCAGCTGATAGGCTCCAGAGAGCAGCAGAGATTTTGGAGGTATGAAGCGACAAACATTCATATTTATTTGTATAATACTATCTCTAGGCTAGTAGTTGCAGTTGAGAATAACGCTGGCAAGTACCCTTCTGACTGTGTCACCTAGTTAGCATTTTACTAATACGTCAGGGGGATGCAGTCTGGGCTATGTTTTAATGGTGCTACCCATTTTTGGGGGGACTTGTCAAGAATATTCAAGCAGCGCAGTCTCATTGGCACAACGATACATTTGGCGTAGATTTGATTCCTCGTTCCCGCAACAGTGTCCGCCATTTTGATTTAAAATATGTATGAATCCTTTTCTGTCTTGCTCCAATCTTGAGGATAAAAGCAACAACTCATTTACTGGACCTGGGATTGTACTATAGCGGTTGGAAGGGTCAGGCAGCGTCTGGTGAGCTGACAAGGAAACACTCGACAGATTACTGACAGATTTGGTTAAATAACCTGGACGTGCATCACCAGTTGACTGGTTTGGAACATAAACAAACTGCTCAGCTAGCAGGCTAACAACACTGACGCCCTGGAGCTAAAGTCAAGGTAGGTGCTTGTCGAAACTTAGCTGAGAATTCTCAACTCCACGATATCGTGGAGATGACAATTCTCAGATAGTCGTAGCTGTGATATGGCAAGATTTCAATAATCAGCTTGACTACATACGCAGTCTAATTAACGTTAACTAGCTAACGTTAGCTAGCTAATATATGCTCAGACATTTGACAGTCATGGACAGCTAGCTAGCCACCTTGCTACGCAGCACTGCTTCCTAAAGATTGATTAGGAGAGTCAGAGCGGTGTGTGCTTGAACACACTGATTACTGTTCTCTCTATCTATCACGTTCAGGTTGCAGAGGTGGTGATGGAGTGTGAGTGTGTGTCAATGGTGTGGGTGTAATCATCCATGCAGATTCAAGACCATTCCTTCCTGCGTATTTGAGATAAATGACTTAAGAGGTCTGACCGAGGAAACACTTTACTAAGGTAAGAAGAAAACACTCACACGTGACATTATGCTCACTAAAAGTTGCAGTCTAGACTATCTGTTCACTTCAGGTTTAAAGTGCTTCCCCTGTAAACTGAGGGGGGGGGGGGGTCTGGCAGTTCCCCCCCCCCCCCACCCCATCAATCATACCCCCTCCTTGCATCCTTCTTTAGCAAGACCACAGGAAAACTCATCACACACAAGACCAAACAGAAAAATGAAAGTTGCAAAACCTATCATACACAGTGAAGTTGGTGAGGATGTCTTTCTATTCACTGTGTCTCCTCCCAGCAGCGGCAGCCATGTTCTGGAAGTTTGACCTGCACACGTCGTCCCAGCTGGAGGCCCTGCTTGAGAAGGACGATGTCACGCTCACTGAGCTCATGGAGGAGGAGGACGTACTGCAGGAGTGCAAGGCCCAGAACCGCAGGTTAGCCTTTAGCATTAGTGCCTGCACATTGTTTATTAGCGCTAGCTTTAGCATTTCCAATAGGAAATGGTATAATGCTAATGCAAACAAGTGTATTTTGGCTCCTCCTCTCTGGGCCCCAGGCTGCTGGTCTTCCTGTCCCAGGACACCTGCATGCAGGAGCTGCTGCACCTCATAACCACAGAGCCCCCTGCTGGTCTGGAAGAGACAAAACGCTTCAAGTGAGTAGATGCACACACACGCAAGCGCGTATGTTCAGTCAGTCAGTGGGATACTTCACTGTGCGTGCGTGTGTGTTCCAGGCACCCTAACATAGCGTGTGAGCTCCTGACGAGTGATGTAGGGGTGATAAATGATAAGCTGGGAGGAGAGAAGTCCCTGCTGGACACCCTGTACTCCTTCCTGGAGCAGCCCCCTCCCCTCAACCCCCTCCTTGCATCCTTCTTCAGCAAGACCATCGGAAACCTCATCACACGCAAGACCGAACAGGTACAGTAACAAACACATCTCACACACAGTTAAAGGGATACTTCGGGGTTTAGGCAATCATACTTACCCAGAGTCAGACAAACTCATGGATACCATTTTTATGTCTCTGTGTGCAGTTTGAAGGAAGTTGAAGGTATTATATCGTTAGCTTAGTGCATTTGTTGGAAGTCTCCAGGAACTACTAGCCAGCTCCTCTCAAAAGCAGGGAAATAGACCTTCTAACTACTCCTAAGCTGGGTGATTGGTCATTTATAGTCTTACAAAGTTATACATAGTAATCAATATTTTATACATTCGTACATTTCTGATAATCGTAAGAAACAAGATTCTATCCACTTCCTCATTCTGTCCCCTTGTTGCATAGAGATTGCAATGTTGTATCTGTCTCAGTGGCGCTGCCCATGCGCTCACAGATGCAATAATAGGACAGATACAACGTTGTGATCTCTATACATCTCTATTCGACACCCAAACAGAATGAGGAAGTGGATCGAATTTTGTTTCTTATGATTAGCTGTAAAATTAACACATTTATAAAATATTGACTTCTGTAGCTTTATAAGACTAAATGACCAACCACCCAGCTTTGGAGTAGTTAGGTCTATTTCCATGCTTTTGAGAGGACCTGGAGACTTCCAGCAATTGCGCTACGTTAACAATATGTTACCTTCAACTTTGTTCAAACTGCATGCAGAGACATAAAAATGGTATCAATGAGTTCGTCTGACTCTTGGCAAGTAGGAAAAAAGGCTTAATTGCCTAAACCCTGAAGTATCCCTTTAATGGTTATAATCTGGTTGTGTTGTGGTCCGTTTCCTGCAGAGCAAGGAAGGTTTTTTCTCTCTAGTGTAGATAATAAAATTGGTTAGAATAATCTATATTGTTGTATGATGTTGAAAATAGGTTTTTAGTTGATGTGGTTGACAGGTGGTTGTATTATGGTTGCGTTGTGGTCTCTGTAGGTGATCTCCTTCCTGCGGGGGAAGGAGGGTTTCCTGGGTCTGGTTCTTAAACACATCAACACATCGGCCATGATGGACCTCCTGTTACGCCTCATCAGCTGTGTAGAGCCTGCTCCTCTCAGACAGGACACACTCAATGTATGTTTCTCACACACACACACACACACACACACACACACTCAGTGTGACGTAAAATATGTAATGGTGTGTTTGTGTTCCCTCTGCAGTGGTTGAATGAAGAGCGGCTGGCCCAGAGGCTCATAGAGCTCATTCACCCTGGGAAAGACAAGGAGGTGAGACACACACACACACACACACTATCTACTGATGACTAGAGTGCTGTCAGAGGAGTAACACCAGCCATGTGTGTTTCAGAGACAGTCAAATGCGTCCCAGACTGTGTGTGACATCATCCGTCTGAGCAGAGACCAGGCCAATCAGCTCCAAGAGAACTCTGAGGCCGACCCTCTGCTTGCCGTGCTGGAGTCGTAAGTCTCTCTCTCTCTCACACTCACACTCACACTCACACTCACACACAAACACTCACACACACACCCCTACCTACCTGTAATGTCCTCTGTCCTGTGTGTTCCTGCAGGCAGGAGTGTGTGGGTCAGCTGCTGGACAACATGTTTGTGGGAGAGGGCACTGAGAGCTGCATCGTCTACGGAACTCAAGTCCTTCTCACCTTACTGGAGATCAGGAGGCCGGGGTGCGTGTTCTATTCTCGCATGCCTAAAAAGCTTACCAAATGGGATGTATAGGAATTTGGTCACAGGCTAGCCCCTCTTTGACTCACAAATTTCCACAAATCCTAACTGTGTTTTTGGTATGTGGTGTGTGTGTGTTCCAGGGTGGAGGGTGTGTTGGATGTGTGTGTTCAGGGATATGAGAGGTGTGTCAACAGCAGCATCCTGCAGGCTGTCCAACCCCACCTCACACACTATCACCAACTACTGCTGGATCCTCCCAGGGTAAACTCGCACACACAGACACACACACAGGGTTGGGCGGTATCCAGATTTTCATATCGTTATACCGTCCTTTTCGCATCATGGGATTTACGGTATTACTGGCTTAGTACGCAAGGGGGCACCAAAAAATGCTAACAAAATTAGCACAAGTAATAGCGAATTTCCATGGAGGCTGCTAGCTTAATATGCTAACGAGCGCAAACGAAAATAGACTAATTGCAAAGACGGACAATCCAGCTCATAAAGTTATACATATATAGGTATGAGCTACCGAATGTCATTTTTTGGGATTTTGGACATTTACAAGCGAATGTGAACAAGATATATTTACTGTGCAAATGAACAAAGTTTTGACTCATGCTTGTCTGAAGGAAGGACAGTACTAGCTCTGGAGCAGCATGTGTACAAGCTGTGTCTGTGTGGAGTCTGGAGTCGCTAGGGCAACGGGGCCTGCCTGCTCTGCTCGGAGGAGGGGAGGAGCAGACAGGCCTAGAATGGAGAGGAGAAAAAATGCAAGGGAATTAAGATGGCACTGGCAGCTGTACAGATAACTCATCCAAAGGGCTTTGACTTCTCAAACACAGCAGAAAGCTAATACAAAATGATACCCCATCCCCTTATTAATTAATCCACTTACTTACATAACTAGCAAATTAAACTTAGGGGTTGCTTTAACGCAGAATTCTGCGTTTTTCACGCATGACAAAAAGATAAAACACATAAGAAATATCGGGCATTCTATCAACAGACAGCGCTCTGACTGATGTGTAGCTACTTTTACGGGCACTTTTCTCAATGTAGCCAGACTAATTTTCTCAGGTAAAATGCAAGATTAACATAAAACAAAACATTAGGAAATGTAGCTGGCTACATTCTTTCCGGGGGCGGCAGGTAGCTTAGTGGTTAAGAGCGTTGTGTCAGTAACCGAAAGGTCACTGGTTCTAATCCCCGAGCCGACTAGGTGAAAAATGTCTGTGCCCTTGAGCAAGGCACTTAACCCTAATTGCTCCTGTAAGTCGCTCTGGATAAGAGCGTCTGCTAAATGACTAAAATGTAAAAAAATGATGGCCATGCATTGTTTTAGCAAAAAATACCTTGCTTTTTCATTGTAAGCTCATTTACTTGTGTGGCTGCCAGCCAAATAGCGTAGCACTTCTGTTGTCATCTGATGAAAATGAAGCTATTTTATGCCGAATGTGTTGCACTAATGTATTTTCTGTGAATGATAACTTTAGTTGCACATCCCTGATCACTCTTTTGAAGCAAAAAAAACACTTGACTTTCAATATAGAACGCGACCCCTGTCAATACACAGCTGGACTCACCTGCTCACGCTTTCTCACGTTGTGCTATTTACAAATTAACAGGTGATGGCTCAACTGTTCTGTGGAACTAAGGTAAGCTTCATAATGTAAAATAATGTGACCGGTGAAATGAAGAACACGATCTGCTTTATCTCCTAACGTATTGCACAAGTTGACTGCAGGTATTTACTTAAGTAGCTACAAATATAAAAATGTATTGAAAAACTTCAAATAAATCGTTTTTAATGGTGTTGACGGTATTCCAAATACCCCGGTATACCGCGCAAGCCTACACGCACATGCACACTATCAACATACACAAATCCTGTATTCTCTGACTATGTCACCCATCCAGTCTTGCGGTGTTATGTGTTGTACAGTCTCGGAGCTGTAATGTCAGCTATTCAACACATCATAAAACTAAATTACACCTGTGTGTGTGTCTGTGTGCGCGTGTTTGTAGCGGACCCCCATGCTGACCAGTCTAGGTGTGTTGGAGGTGCCACTGGGTAACTGTCGTCTCCATGTGGCCAGACTGATGGCCTCCCTACTACAGACCACTAACACAAGTTATTACACCTGTTGTGAGGACACCATTTATAACAACACCGTCACAATGGAGCTCTGCAGACTCCAGACCATAAACCTTCTACTGGTGAGTACACACACGCACACCATGTCCTGGTTTGTATACATATTTTAACTGTTAACCTGTTTGTGTTGTGTGTTGCAGGACCTGTTCTTTAAGTACACCTGGAACAACTTCCTGCACTTCCAAGTGGAGCTGTGTGTGGCAGCCATCCTCAGCCACTCTGCCCAGGAGGAGAGACCCCAGGTTGGCCTGGTTATCCAGGAAAGGCCCTTGGTTCCCCTAGAGGACATGCCCCAGGCCAGCTTTGCGACCCAGGAAAAGCCCATGTTTCTCCAGGAGGAGAGGCCTCAGGCCAGCCTCCCAACCCAGGAAAAGCAGGCCTCGCCCGGCCCCAAACCCCCACTGCCCTCTGTTCCTCCTGACATCTCCACACATAACCCACTGGTGACCCATGTACGAGTCTCTGTCTCTGCGTGCCTGTGTTCCTCTGTAACATTCTCTCTCAAGGTCTCCCTCTCCCTCACGCTCGCTCTCTTTCTCTTCATCTGTAGTTGTTTCAGGACTGTCGTCTGGTTCAGAGGATATTGGAGGCCTGGGAGGAGAATGATAAGACTCAGTAAGACACTCAGGGCTCTATTTTCTGCTGGCACTAAGGAGGCACAAGTGTCAAACGCACATTAGTTTGCAATTTCGTCATGTAAAAACTGCCGCAGTGGCATTTTCCAGCCGTACGCCAGGTTCGACAATTTACCTGTCTAACATTAGCTCGCTTTCGCTGAGGTGGGAGGGGTGGCAATATTTGAGGTGTGTCCTTAAAAAGAAGCGCAAAAGTGACAATTTCATGTAGCGCTAATGGGAAGAACCACAAAAAGCAGGTCTTAAGGGTAACGCAATTGATAATGGCATGGATTTTGAGAGTGGAAGTGCAGCCTTACCAGGTGTATCTCGTATTTAGAAACATACTAAAACTATTGATTTCCCCACATTTCATTTAAAAACCAAGCATATCCTACCCTCCCCTTAATCAAAGTTGGTTTAGCAGCATTGTATAGGTGCATATTTTTATCCTGGCCATTAGCCAAGTAGCCTATGAATAAAGGCTTTTAAATGGTCTACTGAGAGTGCTTTGAAATATGAGGATTTTGCCATCATGCTATCCATCCCCATTTTCAAAGAGCGCCCTTCATCCTATTACCAAAAACACGCTCCTCCAAACTATTCAGTCCTCATCTAATGCCATATCAATGGCAGATGTTTTTGAGAATCTGCCTCGCACATAGGCAATGATACAATTGACAGGTGCCTAATATTTTGTATAGACGTGTGAATGTAATGCGTAAAGACATTCAGGCCTACGTGTGCACACCGTGCCATGGAACGAGAGAAGCGATTTATGATATCATGCTTCTGACCCCATCCTATTTAGAAATATTGTTGGTGTTTTAATAAACAGATTGCTTGTTTTCTGTTTCATATCAAGCCCTCCATAGGCTACCCTTACTCGAGGCTACCAAGGCTGGTTCAACAGCAATGCGTTGTCTTTTTTACCCTGGCCTTGCAAAGTAGCCTATCCATAAAAGGAGTTTAAAAGGTCTATTTGTCGGAGTGCCTTGAATTGAAAATATACTGCACATCCTAAAACATACAGTGAGGGGAAAAAAGTATTTGATCCCCTGCTGATTTTGTACGTTTTATACAGGTAACAAACTGAGATTAGGAGCACTCCCTTTAAGAGTGTGCTCCTAATCTCAGCTCGTTACCTTTATAAAAGACACCTGGGAGCCAGAAATCTTTCTGATTGAGAGGGGGTCAAATACTTATTTCCCTCATTAAAATACAAATCAATTTATAACATTTTTGACATGTGTATTTCTGGATTTTTTTGTTGTTATTCTGTCTCACTGTTCAAATTTAACCTACCATTAAAATTATAGACTGATCATTTCTTTGTCAGTGGGCAAAATCAGCAGGGGTTCAAATACTTTTCTCCCTCACTGTACACACACATTCCTACCTGCATACTTGATTTCGTTTTTCAAGTATCCATCTCCAAAGAGTGCCAATCTCTCATGCGGTGACCAAAGACTCACTTCTCCAGAGTTAATTAAATTATTCCGTCCTAAAATGCAGTATCAACGGTAGGCCTAGACTATATTTAGCATATTGAAAATGTGCCTCACACATAAAATGTATGGGAGCCTAGTATTTTTTATTTTAGGAGACGTGCAATGCATAAAGACAAGCAGGCTTGGCTAGGCTCGTTGAAGGGAATTGCAATGTTGAAAACATAGGCTGTTGAGCAAACACTGGCTGTTGTGTTTTTTACTGTTGCTATTACTTGTTACTGTAGCCTATGCTATTTAATAAACTGTAGTATCAATCCACAATGGGCCAGGATGAGAATACTCCGAATTGGAGTTGATGACAATGCAAATACCATCAATAACCTACAGAACTTGAAACAAAACGCATGCGATATTAAGCCAAGGAAGCCAAGCCCTCATCACACCGACAACTTGTTTATTCATGAAAACCCAGCCCTTTCGCGCCACCGCCAGCTATTGCGCTCATAATTCCCTCTGTGAAAATAGCAAAAAATATTTCTGACACACCCTGGACCTATTGCGCTACCGCCAGTGCTTAGATTTACCACTGCGTTAGGTTTGTTAAAAATAGAGCCCTCAAACTGTTAAAGTTCAACAGTTCAGCTGTTTTTACTCCTGTTTTGTCATCTGTGATTGATGTGTAATAGTGTGTCACGAGTGTAGTGTTAACGTTTATAAATGTAATTGTGCGTGTTACATTTTGTCACGAACGTGTGTGTTCTCAGGGCAGAGGGGGGAATGAGGAGAGGCTACATGGGTCACCTGACAAGGATCGCCAATACTGTAGTCTGTAACATGGAGAAAGGACCAGTACACACCCAGATCAGCAGCCTCATTACAGGTAGGGCTGTGTGTGTTACTTAGGCCTACGGGCATAGCAAACCTATTGTAGAATAAATGTGTGTATGTGTGAAGCTCTCTACTGTCTGTGTGTTGCAGAGCTGCCTACGGATTGCAAGGGGCGCTGGGAGAGCTTTGTAGACCAGGCCCTGACAGAGACCAACAGGAAGAACACTGTAGACCTGGTACCCATACCTGCTCACACAAACGCACACCAGTGTTTCCCCTAGGGGTTTTTTTCAGCAGTGGTGGCAAGGTAGCCGGGGTTGGGGGGGGGGGGTGCATTGCTACAAGCGGGGGACTTCCAGTCATTAAGCCAACGACTATCCATCTAAAAGCGCGTCTCAGCAGATATATATTCCGACTTCAACTGTATATATATACACATTTTACATTTTAGTCATTTAGCAGACGCTCTTATCCAGAGCGACTTACAGTTAGTGAGTGCATGCATTTTTCATATATATAACCCAGCCCTTTCGCGCCACCGCCAGCTATTGCGCTCATATATATATATATATATATATATATATATATATATATATATATATATATATATATATATATATATATATATATATATATATATATGAGCGCAATAGCTGGCGGTGGCGCGAAAGGGCTGGGTTATATATATGAAAAATGCATGCACTCACTAACTGTAAGTCGCTCTGGATAAGAGCGTCTGCTAAATGACTAAAATGTGTATATATACAGTTGAAGTCGGAAGTTTACATACACTTAGGTTGGAGTCATTAAAACTCGTTTATCAACCACTCCACAAATGTCTTGTTAACAAACTATAGTTTTGGCAAGTCGGTTAGGACATCTACTTTGTGCATGACACAAGTAATTTTTCCAACAATTGTTTACAGACAGATTATTTCACTTATAATTCACTGTATCACAATTCCAGTGGGTCAGAAGTTTACATACACTAAGTTGACTGTGCCTTTAAACAGCTTGGAAAATTCCAGAAATGATGTCATGGCTTTACAAGCTTCTGATAAGCTAATTGACATAATTGGAGTCAATTGGAGGTGTACCTGTGGATGTATTTCAAGGCCTACCTTCAAACTCTGTGCCTCTTTGCTTGACATCATGGGAAAATCCAAAGAAATCAGCCAAGACCTCAGAAAAAATGTGTAGACCTCCACAAGTCTGGTTCATCCTTGGGAGCAATTTCCAAACGCCTGAAGGTACCACGTTCATCTGTACAAACAATAGTAAGCAAGTATAAACACCATGGGAGCGCGCAGCCGTCATACCGCTCAGGAAGGAGACGCACTCTGTCTCCTAGAGATGAACGTACTTTGGTGCGAAAAGTTCAAATCAATCACATAACAACAGCAAATGACCTTGTGAAGATGCTGGAGGAAACAGGTACAAAAGTATCTACAGTGGGGAGAACAAGTATTTGATACACTGCCGATTTTGCAGGTTTTTCTACTTTCAAAGCATGTAGAGGTCTGTAATTTTTATCATAGGTACACTTCAACTGTGAGAGACGGGATCTAAAAAAAAAATCCAGAAAATCACATTGTATGATTTTTAAGTAATTAATTTGCATTTTATTGCATGACATAAGTATTTGATCACCTACCAACCAGTAAGAATTCCGGCTCTCACAGACCTGTTAGTTTTTCTTTAAGAAGCCCTCCTGTTCTCCACTCATTACCTGTATTAACTGCACCTGTTTGAACTCGTTACCTGTATAAAAGACACCTGTCCACACACTCAATCAAACAGACTCCAACCTCTCCACAATGGCCAAGACCAGAGAGCTGTGTAAGGACATCAGGGATAAAATTGTAGACCTGCACAAGGCTGGGATGGGCTACAGGACAATAGGCAAGCAGCTTTGTGAGAAGGCAACAACTGTTGGCGCAATTATTAGAAAATGGAAGACGTTCAATATGACAGTCAATCACCCTCGGTCTGGGGCTCCATGCAAGATCTCACCTCGTGGGGCATCAATGATCATGAGGAAGGTGAGGGATCAGCCCAGAACTACACGGCAGGACCTGGTCAATGACCTGAAGAGAGCTGGGACCACAGTCTCAAAGAAAACCATTAGTAACACACTACACCGTCATGGATTAAAATCCTGCAGCGCATGCAAGGTGCCCCTGCTCAAGCCAGCGCATGTCCAGGCCCGTCTGAAGTTTGCCAATGACCATCTGGCTGATCCAGAGGAGGAATGGGAGAAGGTCATGTGGTCTGATGAGACAAAAATAGAGCTTTTTGGTCTAAACTCCACTCGCCGTGTTTGGAGGAAGAAGAAGGATGAGTACAACCCCGAGAACACCATCCCAACCGTGAAGCATGGAGGTGGAAACATCATTCTTTGGGGATGCTTTTCTGCAAAGGGGACAGGACGACTGCACCATATTGAGGGGAGGATGGATGGGGCCATGTATCGCGAGATCTTGGCCAACAACCTCCTTCCCTCAGTAAGAGCATTGAAGATGGGTCGTGGCTGGGTCTTCCAGCATGACAACGACCCGAAACACACAGCCAGGGCAACTAAGGAGTGGCTCCGTAAGAAGCATCTCAAGGTCCTGGAGTGGCCTAGCCAGTCTCCAGACCTGAACCCAATAGAACATCTTTGGAGGGAGCTGAAAGTCTGTATTGCCCAGCGACAGCCCCGAAACCTGAAGGATCTGGAGAAGGTCTGTATGGAGGAGTGAGCCAAAATCCCTGCTGCAGTGTGTGCAAACCTGGTCAAGACCTACAGGAAACGTATGATCTCTGTAATTGCAAACAAAGGTTTCTGTACCAAATATTAAGTTCTGCTTTTCTTATGTATCAAATACTTATGTCATGCAATAAAATGCAAATTAATTACTTAAAAATCATACAATGTGATTTTCTGGATTTTTGTTTTAGATTCCGTCTCTCACAGTTGAAGTGTACCTATGATAAAAATTACAGACCTCTACATGCTTTGTAAGTAGGAAAACCTGCAAAATCAGCAGTGTATCAAATACTTGTTCTACCCACTGTATATCCACAGTAAAACAAGTCCTATATCGACATAACCTGAAAGGCTGCTCAGCAAGGAAAAAGCCACTGCTCCAAAACCGCCATTAAAAAGCCAGACTACGGTTTGCAACTGCACATGGGGACAAAGATCGTACTTTTTGGAGAAATGTACTCTGGTCTGATGAAACAAAAATAGAACTGTTTGGCCATAATGACCATCGTTATGTTTGGAGGAAAAAGGGGGTCGCTTGCAAGTCGAAGAACACCATCCCAACCGTGAAGCACGGGAGTGGCAGCATCATGCTGTGGGGATGCTTTGCTGCAGGAGGGACTGGTGCACTTCACAAAATAGATGGCATGAAGAGGAAGGAAAATGATGTGGATATATTGAAGCAACATCTCAAGACATCAGTCAGGAAGTTAAAGCTTGGTCGCAAATGGGTCTTCCAAATGGACAATGACCCCAAGCATACTTCCAAAGTTGTGGCAAAATGGCTTAAGGACAACAAAGTCAAGGTATTGGAGTGGCCATCACAAAGCCCTGACCTCAATCCTATAGAACATTTGTGGGCAGAACTGTAAAGGTGTGTGCGAGCAAGGAGGCCTAAAACCCTGACTCAGTTACACCTGCTCTGTCAGGCGGAATGGGCCAAAATTCACCCAACTTATTGTGGGAAGCTTGTGGAAGGCTACCCAAAACGTTTGACCCAAGTTAAACAATTTAAAGGCAATGCTACCAAATACTAATTGAGTGTATGTAAACTTCTGACCCACTGGGAATGTGATGAAAGAAATAAAATCTGAAATAAATCATTCTCTCTACTATTATTCTGACATTTCACATTCTTAAAATAAAGTGGTGATCCTAACTGACCTAAGACAGGGAATCTTTACTAGGATTAAATGTCAGGAATTGTGAAAAACTGAGTTTAAATGTATTTGGCTAAGTTGTATGTAAACTTCAACTTTGTGTATATATGTATACATACATACATACATACATACATACATACAGTGCATTCGGAAAGGATCCACATTTTGTTACGTTACAGCCTTATTCTAAAATGTATTAAAATAAATAAAAATCCTGATCAATCTACACACAATATCCCATAATGACAAAGCGAAACGTTTTTTAGAAATTATTGCGAATTTATTAAAAACAAAAAACATTACTTATGTAAATAAGGTTTCACACCCTTTTGCTATGTGACTCGAAATTGAGCTCAGGTGCATCCTGTTTCCATTGATCATCCTTGAGATGTTTCTACAACTTGATTGGAGTCCACCTGTGGTAAATTCAATTGATTGAACTTGATTTTGAAAGGCACACACCTGATTATATAAGGTCCCACAGTTGACAGTGCATCTCAGAGCAAAAATCAAGCCTTGAGGTCGAAGTAATTTTCTGTAGTGCTCCGAGACAGGATTGTGTCGAGGCACAGATCTGGGGAAGGGTACCAAAACATTACTGCAGCATTGAAGGTCCCCGAGAAGACAGTGGCCTCCATCATTCTTAAATGGAAGAAGTCTGGAACCACCAAGACTCTTCCTGGAGTTAGCAGCCCGGCCAAACTGAGCAATCGGGGGAGAAGGGCCTTGGTCAGGGAGGTGACCAAGAACCCGATGGTCGCTGACAGAGCTCCAGAGTTCCTCTGTGAAGATGGGAGAACCTTCCAGAAGGACAACCATCTCTGCAGCACTCCACCAATCAGGCCTTTATGGTAGAGTGGCCAGATGGAAGCCACTCCTTAGTAAAAGGCATGGCAGCCCACTTGAGGTTTGCCAAAAGGCACCTAAAGGACTCTGACCATGAGAAACAAGGTTCGCTGGTCTGATGAAACCAAGATTGAATTATTTGGCCTGAATGCCAAGCATCACGTCTGGAGGAAACCTGGCACCATCCCTACGGTGAAGCATGGTGGTGGCAGCATCATGCTCCAGGGAAGTTTTTCAGCGGCAGGGACTGGGAGACTAGTCAGGATCGAGGGAAAGATGAACGGAGCAAAGTACAGAGAGATCCTTGATGAAAACCTGCTCCAGAGCGCTCAGGAACTCCAACTGGGTCGAAGGGTCGTTGTCCTGTTGGAAGGTGAACCTAAGCACACAGCCAAGACAACTCAGGAGTGGCTTCGGGACAAGTCTCTGAATGTCCTTGAGTGGCATAGCCAGAGCCCGGACTTGAACCCGATCAAACATCTCTGGAGAGACCTGAAAATAGCTGTGCAGCGACACTCCTCATCCAACCTGACAGAGCTTGAGAGGATATGCAGAGAAGAATGGGAGAAACTCCCCAAATACAGTTGTGCCAAGCTTGTAGCGTCATACCCAAGAAGACTCAAGGCTGTAATCGCTGCAAAAGTTGCCTTAACAAAGTACTGAGTAAAGGGTCTGAATATTTATGTAATTGTATTATTTCATTTTAGTATTTCTTAAACATTTGCTAACATTTCTAAAACCTGTTTTTGCTATGTTGTTATGTGGTATTGTGTGTAGATTGATGAAAAAAAATAATAATTTAATCAATTTTAGTATAAGGCTGTAACATAACAAAATGTGGAAAAAGTCAATGGGTCGGAGTACTTTCCGAATGCACTGTGTATGTGTGTATATTAAAATGTGTATATATAAATATGTGTTTTTGTTGCAGTGGTGGCAACAATTTAGCAGTTAAATTAATAAAGAGGAAACTCTGCGTACACACACCATCAAATATACTGAACAAAAATATAAACGCAACAATTTCAGTTCATATAAGGAAATCAGTCAATTGAAATAAATACATTTGGACCTAATCAATGTATTTCACTTGACTGGGCAGGAGCACAGCCATTGGTGGGCCTGGAAGGGCATAGACCCACCCACTTGGGAGTCAGGCCCACCCACTGGGGAGCCAGGCCCAGCCAATCCGAATGAGTTTTTCCCCCACAAAAGGGCTTCATTACATACAGATACACTGTCCGGGTGGATGGTCTCAGATGATCCAGCAGGTGAGGAAGCCGGGTGTGGAGGTCCTGGGCTGGCGTGGTTACACGTGGTCTGCGAATGTGAGGCCGGTTGGACGTACTGCCAAAGTCTGTAAAACGATGACGGAGGCGTCTTATGGTAGAGAAATTAACATTAAATTATCTGGCAACAGCTCTGGTGGACATTCCTGCAGTAAGCATGCCAATTGTGCGCTCCCTCCAAACTTGAAACATCTGTGGCATTGTGTTGTGTGACAAAACTGCACATTTTAGTGGCCTTTTATTGTCCCCAGCACAAGATGTACCTGTGTAATGATCATGCTGTTTAATCAGCTTCTTGATATGCCACACCTGTCAGGTGGATGGATTATCTTGGCAAAGGAGAAATGTTCACTAACAAATCAAATCAAATTTTATTGGCCACATGCGCCGAATACAACAGGTGAAGACATTACAGTGAAATGCATACTTACAGCCCTTAACCAACAGTGCATTTATTTTAAACAAAAAAGTAAGTGTTGAGAAAAAAAGAGCAGAAGTAAAATAAAATAACAGTAGGGAGGGTATATATACAGGGGGGTACCGGTGCAGTGTCAATGTGCGGGGGCACCGGCTAGTTGAGGTAGTTGAAGTAATATGTACATGTGGGTAGAGTTAAAGTGACTATGTATAAATAATTAACAGAGTAGCAGCATCGTAAAAGGATGGGGTGGGGGGGGCAGTGCAAATAGTCCGGGTAGCCATGATTAGCTGTTCAGGAGTCTTATGGCTTGGGGGTAGAAGCTGTTGAGAAGTCTTTTGGACTTAGACTTGGCACTCCGGTACCGCTTGCCGTGCGGTAGCAGAAAGAACAGTCTATGACTAGGGTGGCTGGAGTCTTTGACAATTTTGAGGGCCTTCCTCTGACACCACCTGGTATAGAGGTCCTGGATGGCAGGAAGCTTGGCCCCAGTGATGTACTGGGCCGTACGCACTACCCTCTGTAGTGCCTTGCGGTCGGAGGCCAAGCTGTTGCCATACCAGGCGGTGATGCAACCAGTCAGGATGCTCTCGATGGTGCAGCTGTAGAATTTTTTGAGGATCTGAGGACCCATGCCAAATCTTTTCAGTCTCCTGAGGGGGAATAGGCTTTGTCGTGCCCTCTTCACGACTGTCTTGGTGTGTTTGGACCATGATAGTTCGTTGGTGATGTGGACACCAAGGAACTTGAAGCTCTCAACCTGTTCCACTACAGCCCCGTCAATGAGAATGGGGGCGTGCTCAGTCCTCTTTTTTTCCTGTAGTCCACAATCATCTCCTTTGTCTTGGTCACGTTGAGTGAGAGGTTGTTATCCTGGCAATACACGGCCAGGTCTCTGACCTCCTCCCTATAGGCTGTCTCATCGTTGTCGGTGATCAGGCCTACCACTGTTGTGTCGTCGGCAAACTTAATGATGGTGTTGGAGTCGTGCCTGGCCATGCAGTCATGGGTGAACAGGGAGTACAGGAGGGGACTGAGCACGCACCCCTGAGGGGCCCCCGTGTTGAGGATCAGTGTGGCAGATGTGTTGTTACCTACCCTTACCTCCTGGGGGCGGCCCGTCCATTTTTTACATTTACATTTTAGTCATTTAGCAGACGCTCTTATCCAGAGCGACTTACAGTTAGTGCATACATTTTTTTTTTTCATACCCCCTGTGGGAATCGAACCCACAACCCTGGCATTGCAAACGCCATGCTCTATCAACTGAGCTACATCCCTGCCGGCCATTCCCTCCCCTACCCTGGACGACGCTGGGCCAATTGCACGCTTCCCCATGGGTCTCCCGGTCGCGGCCGGCTACGACAGAGCCTGGTGGGAAAGGGCAGTGTGGAGTGCAATAGAGATTGCATCATCTGTGGATCTGTTGGGGCGGTATGCAAATTGGAGTGGGTCTAGGGTTTCTGGGATAATGCTGTTGATGTGAGCCATGACCAGCCTTTCAAAGCACTTCATGGCTACAGACGTCAGTGCTACGGGTCGGTAGTCATTTAGGCAGGTTATCTTAGAGACCTTGGGCACGGGGACTATGGTGGTCTGCTTGAAACATGTTGGTATTACAGACTCAGTCAGGGACATGTTGAAAATGTCAGTGAAGACACTTGCCAGTTGGTCAGCACATGCTCGGAGTACACGTCCTGGTAATCCGTCTGGTCCTGCGGCCTTGTGAATGTTGACCTGCTTAAAAGTCAGGGATGTAAACAAATTTGTGCACAACATTTGAGAGAAATAAGCTTTTTGTGCGTGTGGAATGATTCTGGGATCTTTTATTTCAGCTCATGAAATATGGGACCAACACTTTACATGTTGTGTTTATAGTTTTGTTCAGTGTACATACACATGTAAAACCCCTGGCCTCTGTGTTCCAGGTGTCTCACAACCTGCGCTCCTCCAGTGAAGACGATGACAGACAGAGTCCCTTCCCCAAAGAGTTGTCACTGCAACAGGTACACACACACACACATATTTACAGATAGTAATCTACTGCTCCTACTCTGTCCTGGTAGCTACCATAATCCAGTTCTGTTTTATATGGCTGCTATCTTCCAGACATTCTCAGACTACCAGATCCAGCAGATGACTGCTAACTTTGTGGATCAGTTTGGCTTCAATGACGACGAGTTCTCAGAACACGGCGACAACATCAAGTAAGACGCAAACATGCAACATCAAGTTAATCCTCTTAAGTGGGTCTGACTTGATTGTGACTGAGTGTGTATGTTCTGTGCTGCAGCGCCACCTTTGTCCGGATCACAGAGATCAACTTCAACGTGGACACAGAGGACACTGTGAGTGACTGAGTCAATAGCCTCTACCTCCTAGGTGCTTCCATTTTTGAAATTCACTGTTTGTCATTATCTAAACTGGTCTAAGAGTACAGTCATGCATGGAATCTATACGCATACATTGTTGTGTGTGTGTGCGTGCGCTCACAGGCTAAGACTGCAGCATTTGAGGCCTGCACTAAGGAGAAGATCCAGTTGTTTGATGACAGCGAGGAGGAAGACATCTGGGAGGAGAGAGAGATCAACTATACCACGCACACCAAGTCTAGGACCAGGTACACACAAACTCAGATTAACAATACAACACACCAGGACCAGGTACACACACACACACATAGGCCTACAGATATGCTATCTTAATTTGAAGCTGCTTCTCACAGCAGGATTATACTTAATGGAAATGTTTGTATGGGTTGATACATTTTTCGTTAGGGAAAATCTAATCTGACATTTTAAAGTGGAAATTACAAACTTTAGAAGCCTTTTTAAACCATGAATACAATAGAATGTGCATTTCCTGCTGCTCAGGAAAATTATTTGTGACAACAGAGTGATCATATTTAGATAGCAGATCTATATGCAGACACACACAAGTAATGCTCCCTCTCTTGGTCTCTCAGGTTTGGGGGGCCGCATACGTCTGTTGGATCGGCTCAGAGTGATGGGGTGAGCGATACTCCTGATAGGTCAACAGGTTCTGACACAGATGAAGGTGAGGTGCCTAATGAGGTCACAGGTCAGACTGAACACAGCAAGAACATCAGCCAGACAGAGACTGCACAGAGTAAGAATGACTATTTGAACCCAGGTCTGTTTGTGTTTGAGTATTTCATGGGTTTGCTTTGGAGTGTTTTTGTGGTTGTGTGTAGTTATAATTTTCTTTGGTTGTGTGTTGCTGTGGTAGTATATATTTATCCTTCTGCCTGTTTTGTTTGTGTGTGTCTGGTGCTCAGCTCTGAGTTGTCTTTTCTCAGGCCCTGGCTGGGCGGCTAGTTTCGGGGAGGTGAACTTTAACTCCCCCTCATCTGGAGTGGACATGGACCCATGGGGTAGCCCCGCCCCCATGCCTGGAGTGGGTGTAGACCCATGGGGTAGCCCCGCCCCCAAGCCTGGAGTGGGTGTAGACCCATGGGGTAGCCCTGCCCCCAAGCCTGGAGTGGGTGTGGATCCATGGACTACCCCCGCCCCCAAGCCTGGAGTGGGCGTGGACGCATGGGGAAGCCCTGCCCCCCAGCCCGTAACTACAGAGGCTGAGAAGGGCTGGGCCAAATTCACTGATTTTCAGCCCTTTTGCTGGTGAGTGTAGCCACGTTTCAGCCTGTCTTTTTGAACCTTCTGCTGCTCATGTATAGGTTTATATTCTGACGTGTATGTGTGTGTGTGTGTGTTCAGTTCAGAGACAGGTCTGAGGTGCACTTCTCCAGTGAACTCAGAGATCTGTGGGTCAGACAAAACCAAACCCAGCCAGGGAAAGAACCGTAAGTCTGTGTGTGTTCTTCCTGCATTGTGAGTTGTGTGTGTGTGTGTGTACACTGAGTGTATGAAATATTAGAAACACCTTCCTAATATTGAGTTGCACCCCTTTTGTCCTCAAAACAGCCTCAATTCGTCGGGGCATGGACTCCACAAGGTGTCGAAAGCGTTCCACAGGGATGCTGGCCCATGTTGACTCCAATGCTTCCTACAGTTGTGTCAAGTTGGCTGGATGTCCTTTGGGTGGTGGATCATTCTTGATACACACAGGAAACTGTTGAGTGTGAAAAACCCAGCAGCGCTACAGTTCTTGACACACTCAAACTGGTGCTCCTGGCACCTACTACCATACCCTGTTCAAAGGCACTTAAATCTTTTGCCTTACCCATTCACATGAGACATGGATTGGCACACATACCCAATCCATGTCTCAATTTTCTCAAGACTTAAAAATCCTTCTTTAACCTGTCTCCTCCCCTTCATCTAACTGATTTGAAGTGGATTTAACAAGTGACATCAATAAGGGATAATAGCTGGTCAGTCTATGTCATGGAAAGAGCAGGTGTTCTTAATGCAAAGTATGTTCACTTTGCAGAGCATGTTTGTATAACCGTGTGTGTGTTTTCTCTGCAGCGTGTGTGTGGAGTGTTTGTGTGGCGAGGAAGGCTCCCCTGGTAGCATCAGACACCTCTTCATCAGGAGGCTCAGACAGCGAGGAAGAGGAGGAAAAGACTGAATCTGTTACTATGGAGATGGTATCCAAGGAAATGGTCACTACAGAGACCATTGTCACAACCGCTGGACTGGAGACCATCAGACTTACCATGGATGCCAAGAACGAGAGAGCTGGCACCAGGTATATACTGTGTATTCGGAAAGAATTCAGACCCCTTCATTTTTTCCACATTTTGTTATGTGACAGCCTTATTCTAAAATGGATTAAAATCGTTTTTCCCCCCTCATGAATCTACACAAAACACCCCATAATTACAAACCAAAAACAGGTTTTTTGACATTTTTGAAAATGTATAAAAAATAAAAAACTGAAATCACATTTACATACGTTTTCAGACCCTTTACTCAGGACTTTGTTGAAGCGCCAAGGACATTCAGAGACTTGTCCCGAAGCCACTCCTGAGTTGTCTTGGCTGTGTGCTTAGGTTCATTGTCCTGGCTCCGTTCATCTTTCCCTCAATCCTGACTAGTCCCCCAGTCCCTGCCGCTGAAAAACATTCCCACAGCATGATGCTGCCACCACCATGCTTCACCGTAGGGATGGTGTCAGGTTTCCTCCAGACGTGACACTTGGCATTCAGGCCAAATAGTTCAATCTTGGTTTCATCATACCAGATCATCTTGTTTCTCATGGTCTGAGAGTCCTTTAGGTGCCTTTTGGCAAACTCCAAGCGGGCTGTCATGTGCCTGAGGAGTGGCTTCCGTCTGGCCAGTCTACCAAAAAGGCCTGATTGGTGGAGTGCTGAAGAGATGGTTGTCCTTCGGGAAGGTTCTCCCATCGAGGCCACAGTGTTTTTGGGGACCTTCAATGGTGCAGAAATCCTTTGGTACCCTTCCCCAGAGCTGTGCCTCGACACAATCCTGTCTCTGAGCTCTACGGACAATTCTTTCGACCTCATGGCTTGGTTTTTGCTCTGACATGCACTGTCAATTGTGGGACCTTTCCAAATCATGCCCAATCAATTGAATTTACCACAGGTGGACTCCCTTGAGATGTTTCTACAACTTGATTGAAGTTCAATGGAAACATGATGCACCTGAGCTCACTTTCGATTCTCATAGCAAAGGGTCTGACACAATTTGTTTTATTTAATCCATTTTAGAATAAGGCTGTAACGTAACAAAATGTGGAAAAAGTGAAGGTCTGAATACTTTCCAAATGCACTGTACTCACACCCACTGTTTCTCTGTTTAGTAGTGCAGTATGTTCAGGGCCGGCGTTATGGGGGGGCCTTAGGGAGCCGTACCTCTTTGCCCTTCCAAATACAATATTGATCATTTATTTGACCGAGAAGTGCGCCAACAGAAAGACTCATCAATCTTAGTTTAAAGCATCCGAGTGAGCGAAACGGCGCCCCTCTGTCTTAGTTCGTGTAGACGATGTATCTGATGCTGTCTGGACCAAAAGAGTATGGCATGTCATACTATTTCTGGAGAGCATCAGATACATGGGCTACATATAGAGGTGCGCTGTTTCGCTCGCTCTGATGCTTTCTCCGGTGATATACATCTCCCGAGCGGCGCAGTGGTCTAAGGCACTGCATCGCAGTGCTAGCTGTGCCAGTAGAGATCCTGGTTCGAATCCAGGCTCTGTCGTAGCTGGCCGTGACCGGGAGACCCATGGGGCGGCGCACAATTGGCCCAGCGTCGTCCAGGGTAGGGGAGGGAATGGCCGGCAGGGATGTAGCTCAGTTGGTAGAGCATGGCGTTTGCAACACCAGGGTTGTGGGTTCGATTCCCACGGGGGGCCAGTATGAAAAATAAAACAATTGTGTATGCACTCACTAACTGTAAGTCGCTCTGGATAAGAGCGTCTGCTAAATGACTAAAATGTAAATGTAAATATAGTTTCAGCAGAGAGGAAGAAGCGAAGCGAGAGGGCTCACTCTTGCCAAAATCAGTCCAGAATAAGCCCAGTCCAGAATAAACCCAATTCATTTATATGGGAATAATATACAGACCTAAGCTTGTCGCCTGCCTTCCCGCCTTTGGTACAAAGACTCCCATTGTTAGGGTGGAGACATGGGCATCTCGTCATTATGTACAGATCTCTGGTTTCAGCCTCTTGCGAATTGGAAAGGAAAGTTGGCAGGTGCACACTGCACTGTTAGGATGCTGGATTGCCCTAAAGTAAATTGATGTTTCGCCAAAATTATATAATTACTCCTGTCTAAATAAAATCATTCAAAATACTTCACCAGGGAGCATGACTTAGCCACAGAGGATAATTATCTTGTTATTATTATTTTAATTGCTGTGGATTGTTTAAAATCACAAGTGTGTTTGGGAAGCCTGCGATTTGGGTAGTGCGCGTGGTAATGGGTTTAGCTGATTGAGTTGCAGCTCTCAGTGAAAAGCATCTAAAATATGTGTGAAGATTTGTCTTGAGTATAATTTAAAATGTTGCATCAAGAAGAAGGGGAGGGGGGTGTGGCAAAGCTATGGTGAGTATCTCTCCAGAATGCATGCATATGTAGGAAAGTGATTGTCTTAACTCACCATGTACACCACTCATTTTTTCTTCAACTCACACAAGTCAACGAAGTCTGTTTTTTTAACATCCATTGTGAATGATAGTTCCTCAGTATCTGAAAAATATTTCCAACACTCCCAGCCTTGCTAATCACCAAGCGGTGTGAAAGAGCAAAATATCACGATCTAATGATCCCAGTGGAAACGTCATAAAAACAGCTTTCTGTCCCGAGCTCACTGGCGCAGGAAACTCTCCGGGCCCGGAATAGGCTAGTTGATACAATGTTGCAAGTTCGCTAGCGACAGCCTCTGGCCAGAACAAGTGATGAGTCATTTAGCCGATGCTCTTATCCAGAGGGACTTACAGGAGCAATTAGGGTTAAGTGCCTTGTTCATGGGCAAATTGACAGAGTTTTCACCTAGTCGGCTTGGGGATTCGAACCAGCAACCTTTTGGTTACTGGCCCAACGATCTTAACCGCTAGACTACCTGCCGCCCTACAATGTTGCACTTCACTAGCAATAGTTCAAGTCAAGACAGATAGAAAGGGAGGCGGAACAGAGAGATGAATGTGATTGAAAGAACCAGAATTTTCATCACGATATTTTCTACTGTTTTTATTTGTCGGCTTTAGGCCTATGTATTTGACTTAGTTGACGATGGAAGTTATAGGCCTACTCCTGCATCTCTGAGTTCTATGCTCTCATTTCTTTAGCCGCCAGTGGATCAATATGTCCATATGGCAGAGGCTATTGCTCTCCCAATAGTTGAATTTTAATTTTGAGATTTTTATGATTAACCACGTGAAAATGATTTTGAGAAACGAAAACGTTATTATCGAAATTTAACTGTTCCACGAATATACACATATAAAAATAATCATAACTGGCACGCAGATCGGTAGAAATGGTAGGATAAATTGTAAGCTTCCCCAAACTTGAAACTCACGAGCTGCCTATGGTCTTTACTATTACATCCATGAAAAAACGTGGTGCCGGGTCTGAATTTATTCCCCTCCCTGCCTTACTGTCCACACCACTCCTCTGATCTTACCTTCTCTCCTTCCCACCCTCCCAATACTCATTCTTTCCTAATCTGTCCTCCCAACTCTTTTCCTTTCCTACTCTCATCTTTCCCCCAGTCGTTTCTTCCTCTCCTCTACTCCCTCATTCCCTATCCTCTCTTATCCACTCCCCCATTTCCTCCCCTCGCCGCCTCATGTAGTGTATGAGGTCTACAACCACAGTGTGTTGCCTGTGGAGTTTGTAGCATTGGGAGTTTGTTACAAAGTGTACAACACTTTGCAGACCAAAAACCAACGACCTAGTGTGTGTTAGCCACAGGTGAATTCTGCTAATAAGGCATTGAACTTTGTGTGCAACTGCATGATAACTAACTGTATGTTTGTGACCTCTGACCTTTGGATGGGCATCCCTCCGTTCCTCTCTGACCCAATCACTATGCCTCTCTACTCTAGGTCTGTGCTGAGGTCTACTAGGGGCAAATCTGAATAGGCTCGAAAATCCTATATAGTGCACTACTTTTGGCCAGAACCACATAGGCCTGCCACATAGGGCTCTGTCTAATAATAGTGCCCTATACAAGAAATAGGTTGCGATTTGAGACACAACCAAGATGTTCTTAGTTGTGCCTTTCTACTTTTACAGTGAGGCTGACATGAAAGAGAAGGAAAATGAGAAAGAGAGGGTGATGGGTAGAGGAGACCTGCTTAATGCCACCGCTGCTCCTCTCACAGATCGGCCTGCCACCGTCACAAAGTAAGTATGTGTGTGTCTGTCTGTCTGTCTGTCTGTCTGTCTGTCTGTCTGTCTGTCTGTCTGTCTGTCTGTCTGTCTGTCTGTCTGTCTGTGTTGTGTACCTGCTTCTTCACTGACACCACCCCCTCCACTCTCCCCACAGAGAGACACCCTCCTCAGCAAACGGACTGGCCTAGTACTGCGCTACCACGACACACACACCTCACACACATACACACTCCATTCCCTAGCTAACACAACCACACTCCACTTCCCAACAACACAATGCCATGCAACATCCTGTATTTGTGAGCAGTGCTGCCCTGTCATTGGTCCGTGTCGAGGACATCTACGGTGGATGAGAGGGACAAAAACCAGAAGAGAAAAGCCAGTTCAGAAACCAGACCACAGCTCCTAAACACAACAACTAATAAACAGGTTCATGTGATGTTTGTCTCTGCCCTTCTGCTGTAGTCTCTCCTACACACCTATCACATCACCACACGACACACTGGGACATGACGTGTGTGTGTATGCGCACGTTAGGGCTGCACAATTAAGCAAATTCACATCGACATCGCAATATTGACATGTGCAATGTCCATTCTCGACATCCAAAATTGCAAGCAATATTTTTAAACGCCTCTATGCCGCTCGTAAGGTCCGTTGTTATAGTTTACTCTTTCGTCCCTCTTCCCACACACACCAAGACTCTACCCCTGTCAATCAAGCAGCGCAGTTCCTCCTCCTCGGTCAAATGCAGTCAACAGATTGTTCTAACAAGAAAGATGCTTCTTTCCACTTTGCTTCTTAGTGTACATCATTGTGTTTCTATGATTCCAACAGTTTACCCAAGTGTTTTGATCTTTATAACGAGTCAAATCGCAATATTTGGTTAAATAAATCGCAATTCATTTTCTGGGGCTATCGTGCAGCCCTAGCGCACGTGCACACGCACGTGTGTGATCCAGCTTTATGTAGTCAGCTGGGTGTTTTTGCACTTAACTTAAGCTCTTTGTTGAGTAGCGAGACGAGACACTCCACTCCCGCTGTAGTCACATCCTCAGCCCAGAGCAAAGTCTGAGGCTTGGGGAGAAGGGGAATGAGTAGTCCGTAAGATACTCAAAGCCAAAATGTGTTCTAAAAATGTTCCTAGTTTAATTGATTTGACTCAATCATTTCAACATAGAAAATCCAGACTGATTATGAAATTCAACCACTATCTTTCTCTCTCTGTGTGGACTATTACAGGTAGTGAAAATATTGATTGCTACTGTGCTGTATATTCGTGTGCGTGCTTGTGTGGGGGTGTGTGTGTGTTTGTGGGAGATTTGGGATATATTCTCAGGTTAAAAGAGCAGTCCTGTGGATGTGATGAAAGCCTGTGTGATGTCACACAAAAACACACAGACTATATACACACACACACGAGACTAAAAACACACACACACACGAGACTATATACACACACACACGAGACTATATACACACGAGACTACACACACACACACACACGAGACTATACACACACACGCGACTATACACACACACAAGACTATACACACACACACAAGAGACTAAACACATACACACACAAGAGACTAAACACACACACACACAAGACTATATGCACACACACACACGAAACTATATACACACACGAGACTACACACACACACACGAGACTATACACACACACAAGACTATACACACACACAAGACTATACACACACAAGAGACTATATGCACACACACACAAGAGACTAAACAAACACACACACAAGAGACTAAACAAACACACACAAGAGACTAAAAACACACACACACGAGACTATATACACACGAGACTATACACACACGAGACTATACACACACACACGAGACTATACACACACACGAGACTATACACACACACAAGACTATACACACACACAAGAGTCTAAACACATACATACACAAGAGACTAAACACACACACACACAAGAGACTAAACACACACACACACACACACGACTACACACACACAAGACTATATGCACACACACACACACACACGAGACTAAAAACACACACACGAGAATACACACACACACGAGACTATACACACACACACACACACGACTATACACACACACACACACACACACACACAAGAGACTATGCACACACACACACACGAGACTACACACACATACACACAAGCGACTACACACACACACAAACAAGAGACTATACACACACACACACACACAAGATACTAAAAACACACACACACACAAGAGACTATACACACACAAATACACAAACAAGAGACTATACACACACACACACACAAGATACTAAAAACACACACACACACAAGAGACTATACACACACACACACAAACAAGAGACTATACACACACACACACACAAGACTATACACACACACACACACACACAAGACTAAACACACACACATGACTAAATGCAAACACACACACACACGACTATATGCACACACACGAGACTAAAAACACACACACGAGACTACACACACACAAACGAGACTATACACACACAAACCCAAGATTATACACACGAGACTACACACACACACGAGACTACACACACACACGAGACTATACACACACACACAAGAGATTAAACACATACACACACAAGAGACTAAACACACACACACAAGACACTAAACACACACACACACACAAGACTACACACACACACACACACACACACAAGACTAAAAACACACACACACGAGACTATATACACACACACACACACAAGACTATATGCACACACAATCACACACAAGACTAAAAACACACACACACGAGACTATATACACACGAGACTATACACACACACAAGAGACTATATGCACACAAACACACGAGACTAAACACACACACACAAGAGACTAAAAACACACACACGAGACTATACACACACACACACACGAGACTATACACACACACACGAGACTATACACACACACACAAGACTATACACACACACACACGAGACTATACACACACGAGACTATACACACACAAACAAGAGACTATACACACACAAACAAGAGACTATACACACACACACAATGACTACACACACACAAACAAGAGACTATACACACACACACGAGACTATGCACACACACACAACACAAGAACTAACACACACACAAGCGACTACAACACACGACCACCAACCACAAAATACTATACACAACAACACCACCACACAAGACTATACACACACACACACAACAAGACTAGCACTGATACACAACACACACACCACACAAGACTATACACCACACAGACTAAAAACACAACACACACAACACACAACACACACACACACACACAGGACTACACACACACACACAAGACTATACACACACAAGACTATACACACACACACACACACACCGACTAACCCACACACACCACACACACACACAGACTAAACACACACACACAAGACATACACACACCACCACAGACTATACACACACACACAAGAGACTATATCACACAACACACAGACTAACCCACACAACACACCACAGACTATACCCCACAAAAACACAAGAGACTAAAAACACATACCACACACAAGACTAACACACACACACACAGAGACTAACACACACACAAACGACCTACCAAACAACACACACACCACACACACAAGACTAACACACACACACACACAGAGACTATATACACACACACACACACGAGACTATATCACACCACAATCACACACAAGGACTAAAACACACACACGAGACTATAACACACCAGACTATACACAACACACACAGAGACTATTCACACACACACACGAGACTAAACACCACACACACAAGAACTAACAACCACCACACACACAGACTATACACACCACACAGACACAACCACAACAAAACAACCACACCCAGACTAACTCCACCCCTACACACACACACGAGACTATACACACACACACAAGACATATCCACATCACACACAACGAGACTATACAACACACGAACATATAACACACATCACACACACAGACTATAAAACAACACACCACAAACGACTATATAACACACAAACACAGAGACTATAACACACACCACAAGAGACATACAACACACACAAAACAAGAACTATACACACCACACACACACAAGAGACTATGACCACACAACACACACACAGAGACTATACACACACAACACACACACACGAGACTCAACACACACACAAGAGACTATACACACACACACAAGCTACTAACACACAACACACAACAAACAAACACAGAACTATACACACACCACACACAGAGACTATACACACACACACAACACAAGACTATACACACACCAACACAAGATACACACACACAACAGACTACACACACACACACACACAAGACTATACACACACACAGACTATACACCACAACACACACACACACAGGACTATCACACACACAACAGGACTACACACACACACACACAAACTATACACACAACACACACACAGAGACTATACACACACAACAAGACTATAACACACACACAAGACTATATCACACACACACCAAACACAAGATATACACACGAGAAACACAATACAACAACGAGACTAACACACACAGACTAATACACACAACACAGACTATACACACACACACACACAGAGACTATATCACACACCACCAAGACTATACACACAACACTACTTACACACGGACTATACACCACACACAGACTATACACACACACAAGGACTAACTACACACACAAGACTATACCACCACCACACACACACAAGACTATCCACAACAACAGCTAACAACCGACTATACACACACACCACAAGACTATACACACACACGAGACTATACACACACACACGAGACTATACACACACACCACGAGACATAAACACACAACTATAACACACCACACGACTATAACACACACACAAACAACACACACACACAAGACTATACACACACAGAGACTATACACACACACAAGACTTAAACACACACAACACACCACGAGACTATACACACACACACACACGACTATACACACACACACACAGACTATATACACACACAGAGACTATACACACACACAAGACTATACACACAACACCAACACAAGACTATACAACACACA